GAACTATCAACCATTTCATGTCATAAAACGTCAGAATTCGTTTGCAATCCCAGCTTACTCTGACTTGTCCGCCACTGGAAAGATCTAAGTACACATCAAGCACTTTATAAATCAGATGGCCATCAAAGAACATTGTGGGACCTGCAGCGTGACCCTGCAGCGTGACCCTGCAGCGTGACCCATTAACTCTCGCAAGAAACATGCAAACTTAAAGTATCAACCCTTTTGTTGCGAAAGTTTGGTTTATCCTTTCATTTCATCAACTAAATTGGATAAACAAAAACATGTTTGAACATTCCTCGGCAAATTGCATATCACGACAGTGTTTTTGCATGGAGACAGTCACGACAGGCAAAAAAAAATAACAATCTCTGGATAGGACCGTATTGCTCACTCGGAAAACAGGAGAGAACCATGTGTTAATCACTTTGAAGCGATCTCAGCTGATAAAACCATGTAAAACCAACATGTTTTTTCCTTGAACCAATCTCGGCTGGTGAAATTGGCCTTTAACTTCTTGAATCTCATGTAAAACCAGCAGTTTCCCTATGTTTTTCCATGTTTGCCAGCACTTTGACCGTTGAAAACGGCGCCTTCTGGCCGGCCAGCACTGTCTCTAAGGGATCATAGGGCAGCCCTCGGGGGTTCACCTGGCGATCGATGAAGATGTTATTTCGTACTAGTTTCTATCACATATATCACTATTTTGGGATATACTGCGTATATAAATATAAATATATACATATATATATATACAAACATAAACATATATGTGTGTATATAACTATATGTATGTACATATATATATATACATGGTGATTATATACAATATGATATAATGGATATGAATATTGACTATGTTGATTACATATGGTGATTCTTAAATATGAACCATCCATTGGACTATACGTAGATTCTGGAATTGTGAGGATATCTATGGGGTGACTCATAGGGAGACGGAAGATTCTGTATATACGGTTATTTTCCAATCTATATACATACACAAATCTGGAAACCCATAGTAATCAACCATAGTTACAGGAAAATAGATATAATATAATAGTTAGACAAGTAGATAGGGTAAAACCCATAGTTAGATAGGGTAAAGCATGTATAATATAAAATCAACCATGAGGATCCTATATCATGAGGAATTCCGAGGATTATGGGATATACAATGATACACATATTCAGATGGGGTTATAAACCAACTCGTAGCTAGGGGGCACCGCCTTGAATGTATGGAAATATCATGGGAATATGCGGATATAAAGAGATATGAAGACTGTCATGATATGTGTTAAATCCCATATATTCCTATTGTAGGTGGTTAACATATGTGTAAATTGCGAACTTATGGATGTTTTTACGAACCACATTAGTAGGATATGGTAACAACGCACGGTATATATGTTCGATGAGTTCAACATAGTTTAACCAACCAGCTCATGTGAAAAAATATAAGAATATCACAGGGAATATAAAGATACAATAGGATGATGTTATGATAATGTTATGATATTCAGGATTTAGATGTAGATCCTGGTTCGACATCAATATATCAAGATAATTCCGCCATAGATTTCAACTTGAAAGGCGTTATCTTGAGGATATAATATGGTATATTATATAATATATGTAGTATATCTGTATACAGATTCACCTCGATCCATGTGCAAACCATCCATATTCACATTTATAAAGAAAAATCAGCCATTCGTCTCATGCGACCCCTGCATCCAGAAATCTCCGGAATATGATCCCTGCCTCAGGGGCGTCTTCCACCCCCATGAGAATGTTCACGAAATCTCCCCGCGCGTACTTCCTTAGTGCGTCGATCCAACGAATGGATCTGTAGAGACATTGGATCATGGGCCCTACCCGGCCTGGTCAACTGCTCCATGACTATGGAAAATCACCATGCTATTAATGGGAAAATTCACTATTTCTATGACCATTTTCGAAAGAAGAAGGTAGCATTGAAGGATTCTCTTCATGAACAGAAGCGGGAGATTTACCATCGCAAAAAACAAATCATTTAAGCAAACTTAAACCATCCTTCCAGGGTTACAGCAACTCTTAGTCGGGAAAAGCCATCACCAGCCGTTTTCAAATCGCCGCAATCTTTTTTGGGCGCCGGTTATCGACACTTCGCACCGTCCAGGCATTTATCCACGATCCTTGGGAGGAACAGTGAAGCTGGAGGGTGGCTGATATGGTTTTATCTCACAATCAGGGTATATGTTTGAAATATGTTTGATAATCCATTTGGAACTGGGGATACTCAATTTTCATACAAACCCAAATGAAAGAGTTTGGAAGAAAGCGTTGTATTGAAAATGGCAACTTCGGGCTTCCCAACAGATTTCAGGAGTGCCCGTGTTGGCCATCCCTCAGAAAAATGAGATTACGAGATGATGGATCATTCACAGGTACTGAGTTTTAAAACCTCTTTGCTTGTTTTTTCTTGGAATCCCGTGGCTATTACACAAAAAAGCCTATGAGGCCTCTACATACATCTATATATCGTTGCATTATCCTTACATATTATATATATATATATATATTATATATATAATATATCCATTTATCTCTCCATGTCTTTGCATGGTTGGGATCCAGAGACGCAGGTTGTGTTTTGCCAAGTCACCATTCGCAGCTGTGTGCCTGCCGAATCCCGGCCCAGTTGGGGTTGGTGTCATCGTTGGTGGAATCGCAAAGGGGTTAGACCTATAGTTGTAGGCCATTTTGTACAACCATGTGCAAACTTCATCATAAATGGTCTACAACTATTTGTAGGGTGGGTAACTAGGTAACTAGATCTATTTATCATGAAAATAGATCTATTATGATCTATTTAAATGTCCCAGTTTCCATAGCTATATTAAATTACTTCTAGTAGGGAATTAGTAGGGTGGGTAACTAACCAGAAACAAAAACCTGTCGCTGGAAAGCAACTTCTTAACCTGGATTAGCAAGCGGACTACTCCAAGTTGCATCAGGGAAGCTATCCCTAAAATCTGGTGTAATTCTCAAACAAAATATTGACATGTTTTGATTGAGGTGTTGTTTAATCTTTCCCATTAGAATCTGTTGTGATAATATATCTTGCATTGATTTCCTCTAGATTTCAGGAGGATCTACCCTCTGGTAATTTAACATAACTATGGAAAATCACCATTTTTAATGGGAAAACTCACTATAAATGGCCATTTTCAATAGCAAACTGTTAAATTACCAGAGGGATACAATTTTTGCACTGACACAATCTCCACAGCTCCGTCTGGCCAAGCAACGGATGTGCCCTCTGAGCTCTTTCCCATCCTGAAACCAGAAAGACCATGAAAAGCCCTGAAAACTCGCAAAAGTCTGGATGATCATCTCATTTTGGTAGATGGAAATATATGGAAATTCGGCCAGGATATACCAGGGGCCCCCAGCACTTGACATATCTGTGATATCTCCGGTTGGCGTGGCCCAGCCGCATCCCCATTCTGACTTAGGATGGAGACGACTGCCAGGAAGCAGACGGGTCTGTTAACACGATCTTTTATCCCCAAATCCGATGAAAAATACCATTGATCAATAGCTGAAAATTATATATATATATCATGTATCCATCATATTCATCATACATTCATCATATACCCATCATACATTCATCATACATTCATCATATATTCATCATATACTCATCATACATTCATCATACATTCATCATACATTCATCATATGCTACATTTGATTCAAATTTCCTTGGTGTGTCCAATACTCACATTGCACCATCTCGGGATGGTCGAATTCCCAGCGGCTGGCAGCTCTTGGCATCCTCAAAGCACGCGCAGCTCCTGCCATTTTTTTCTGCATCAAGGGGATGAAAACCAGATCCAGTCATAATTGGAGATAGTTCAACATAGTGATAGGGATTATGTTTATACATATATATATATATTCATTTATTTATTCATTTATATTATATTATATCATATTTATATTTATATGTATATTATAATATATTATATTATATATTATATTATAGTATATTATATATTATATATTATATTATATTATATTATATATTATATTATACTAAATATTATATTATAGTATATTATACTAAATATTATATTATAGTATATTAAATTATATTATATATCATATTATACTATATTTACGTTATATATTATATTATCTTATATTATATTATGTATATGTATTTATACAATATAATATAATAAAATATAATAATACATAATATAATCTAATCTAATATAATATGATATAATATAATATAATAAAAGATTTTATAATATAATACGATATAATATAAGATGATATAATATAATACAATATAATATAATATGATATAATATAATATGATATAATATAATAAAATATAATATAATATAATATACTTTGATATAATCTAATACGATATAATGCAATATGATGTAATATAATATGATATAATATAATAAAATATGATATAATATAATATGATATGATATAATATGATATGATATAATATGATATAATATAATATGATATAACATAATATGATATAATATAATATAATAGGATATAATATATATATAGTATAATATAATATGATATAATATAATATGATATAATATGATATAAATATAATATGATATGATATAATATAATATGATATAATATGATATAATAAAATATAATATAATGTTATGTTTTGCTATATTATATCATATTATATTATATTATACTATATTATATATATATTATTATATTATATAATATTATATATATATATGCCTGGCCAAAAATCACGAGAACCTGCTGAACATCTTGGAACATGGCAAGAATTACACAGAAAAGCTGGGAAAATTCATGGTGTATCTGCCATACCAGTGATCTCCTGTCCTAAACATTCCGTTTTGAAGGTGAGTGGTGTGGAGTTGGAGGTTCAATCCGGAATACCACTGCAAACAGAAAACTGTTTCAAACAAATGTGACAGCTGTCATAAATACATGATGAATCCATAAAATTCCTGAATAAAAGACAAGGAAACACACCTCTTCACTAAGCCATTGTGGAGCCAAAGTCCAGAGATCCCCGTCCTTTGCGTCTCATCGCCCTTGAGACAGGACGGAGCATATTGCTTGTGTTGACACGCATTCCTGGAGCTTCCCCAGGTGTTCCAGGGGGACTTGGTCGTGCTGATAGACCCAAATGCCACTTATGAACCAGGCCGCCAGGCCTATGTAGAGGGCTGTTTTTGGGGAATATCCCCACAACATATGGCCTTATACGCTACAGTTCCTCCATTTTAGGCTCCTGAAACTCCCACTGATATCATGACCACTTGCTACTTGGGTCCCGAGTCCCGTTCTCTAAAACCCGTAGAAACCCGTAGGACGCCGTTATAACAAAGAGTTCCCCTCACATAACCCAGTCCTTGTCTTGTTGGCAAAGGTGCAGGGATCACATGTCACCTGCAGAATGGCGGGCCCAGGTGATACCACCCATCTTCTGGGGTACCACTGGGGAGGAAATGTTGATAAATCAGAAATGCTACACAATTTTCACATGGACCCTGCCATAAGTTGGGATTTTGGACCACTTTCCACAGAACATGAACATGATATGATGATATGGGTCAAACAGCTACTTTGGCGGATGGGGACGAGTAAAGAATACAAACCACCAATGAATCCATCATGGGAATCGAAGATATCGAGTCGTGATCGAGTCGTGATCTCCGCGGCTTTGCGATGAAGTGAAGTCCTCTACACCTTGAGGTCCTTGAAGTGGTACCGGTGTCGGGAATGGCTCAAAATGATATATATATATATATACCCTCTGCTAAACTGCTCCATAACTATGGAAAATCACCATGCTATGTAGCTGGGTAAATCCACTATAAATCACAATTTTCAATAGCAAACTGTTAGTTTACCAGAGGGTACCCAGAAAAATGGTTGGTTTCAGATTTCAAAAATGACCAGCCAAAAAAATCGGGTGCCCTAAGTAGGACAACTCCATGGTGAACAAGCTCAGATCAGCCAGGTCAAAGACCCCAGTAGATAGGAAATCAAAACATCCACAATGACTATGACTGTAGATTCTGTAGATCAATAGGAAACAACCTGAACCTTAATTAAATGGCTTTGGAATTGATTTTCCGTGGAAAATCCAGCTGTATTTATGTGTAGCTCATATATTACTTCCAAAACCCAGCCGGATTTCCAGCTCTCCACATCTCCGAAATGTCGGCCTCGCAGCCATTGTCCACCAGGCCATCCACATCTAAACTGTCCGCGTGGCAGGTGAAGCTGCTGCAGTGCAAGGGACTCTGACAGGCCGTGCAGTGCCCGCCCTGCACCTGGCAATCCATGGGGGGCGGTGACCGTTAGCGGAAAGGTGGTAGAAAGGTGGTAAAACTGCCATAAACCCAAGGGGAATTGCCAGGGAGAATACAGTATTAACAAAATATGGGGGGATTGTGGGTGGTACTGATATCACATGTTCTTTTACCATCACATCTAGTGGTTAGTGGAAAAATCCATGTGCAGGGAAGAACTTCTTCAGCGAACACCGTGGGTTTTCACCAAAAACTCATCTACCAGTAGTGGCGTTCTCGTAAATTCTCGGGCGTCAACCAGTTCTGGGCGAAAATGGTTCCGAAAATTGGACTGTTGCTCAATTTATCAACATGGGGTGTATTTTTGGGGCCCCCAAAAAGGGGGGAATCAGCGGCACATGATCAGCTGATTGGTGGTTTTTTGCCACCGCCAAACGAAATCTGAAAGTCATTGAGGATCGTCACATTTTTCGGGAGAATGGAGATATGGGACGAGGGTCCGGCCAAATAGCATTGGTGGAGTCCACATTTGCAGGGTTAAGGTCCGTCATTCTTTGTAGGTGAAATATTCGGCGAAATTCTCATTTCTATGTTGGCCAAACTCCACATTCATTCTACTGTATATTCATGAAATCTAAACTTTTGGGACTTACTAGTACGTTGGACTGTACCTAAGCACCGCTGTTCTTTCTTCCGAAATCCTCATCTTGGTGAACATGTTTACTTTCTCTTTGGTGAAATCATACAAAGTCCCCATTCGGGTGTATATCTAGAATGGCATATACCCCCCATTCTAGGCAATGTTTGAATGACAAAGCCGAACATCACCGTTACTCATATGCAGTGCCCATTACAATCCCAAGAACTGGATACATCATTTTCAGACAAACCTATGTGTCCCACAATTGTGTTGCAGCACAATTATCGCTATCATTTTACCAGTGTTGTCTCTGTCATTGTCATTATCAATTATTATTATTATTATATTATTATTATTATCAATTATTATTATTGTTTTCATTACGGTTAATTATTGCATTCTTATCATTCTCATTACTGTTTTCAGGGTTCCCATCTTAGTATAACTGTTACTTATTCTTATCATTCGTATTTTTCACCACAAAACGCCTGACTCACAGCACCTTGGGACAAGTCCTCTCACAGCCGTTGCTGGCGTTGCCATCGGCCTCGAAATGGTTCACCTGGCGTTTCTTGGGTGGTGGAGTCGTGCTGGGGTCGTAGTCCGAGAAATTAAAACTGGCTGAACAACAATATAACAAGTCATAAATAATTAAGCAATAGAAAATACGAATGATAAGAATATAAGAATAAGTAACATATACTAATAATGGTAAAAAGAGTAGTAATGATAATAATGACAGAGACAACAATGACAATGATGATGGTATAATGATAATGAATGATAATGATCTATAATGACAGTGAGCCACAGGTACCGACAAACTGACTCTTCGAAGATTTTTTCAGGGACCTCCAGGCTCTTGAAACTCGCATGGAACGTGCCCTGAAAACTACGATGGCAACCCTGAAAAAGGGCTCTCTAAGATGATTCTGCAACGAGAAATAGATCGAAAATAGGCATAAAAATGTTTTCCATGCTGGCTTTCAGGGAGAGCAACAAGGTCATTTTTCAAAATATCTATAGCCAAAATTTCCGTGTGAAGACCATAGCCAGTCCGGGCACTTTGAGAGGGACACCCAGCCACAAACAACAGGATAAAGGATGATAAAAGATGATATCAGATGATGATAAATGATGATAATTAACTGTGACAATTAATGATTAGAATTAATGATGATAATTAATGATGATAATTATTATTATGATGATGATGATGATAAATGATGATAATTAATTGTGAAAATTAATGATTAGAATTTAATGATGATAATTAATGATGATAATTATTATGATGATGATGATAAATGATGATTATATAACGATGTCACCAACATCCAGCAAGAAGGCAATGACTTTTCTATGCACTGTTGAGTCGAGCGTGCAGAAGGGGAGTGTAGCTGAGAAAATAAATGCTGGAGAGTTCAGCGAAGGGGCTCATTTTTTTTGTTGGCGACTGAGTTTTTTTCTTGGGGAGATACCACAAGGTTATACTCCAACAATGGGATGACTGAATGAGGATCCCATCAGCAAAAGAAAACAGGATTTTCCTCGCAATCATCATACCTCCAGATAAAATAGACCCTGCCAAATTGGGGATTGGAAGACAACTGTCCTTCAAAAGTTTATAATTTCTCAGGGAGCATGTTGGTTAAGGATGTTATATAATGTTATATACTATATAGTTGTTTTCCGTTTAGAGATAGTTTGAGACATTATTAAACAATGATCTGACGGTATTTTGCCCACTATTCTATAACTTATAGATGATAGTTTAGAATTGAACGATCCCCATATCAAATTAAAAATATTATATAATACATGTTCCCCTTATTCTGCAACTTATTGAAACTGAAAATGGTTCCCATTTATTATTTATTCATAATTGAAACTACATCATACGTATAGTTGTATCGTTGTATAATCGATGAAGACTTTTAGCTATAACTGTTCCCATGATTCCATTCCATAACTATTGACTACTATTCTATAATGGAGTTTTTCTTTTACAGAAATCATGTAGTTGTTTATGTGATGTAATGTTTTTGAATAGATATGAATAGATTGACTATTCTATAACTCATGATTCTCTTTGGTTTTTACATGTTTTCACAGACATCATGGAGTTCTTGATCCTCTCCGCAGAAATTCCGCTGCGCACCTCGCAGGTATAGATGTTGCAGCTGTGCGCATCGTTGCAGCTGCTGCAGTGGCCATTGGGCACCTTCGGGCAACCCGCCTGGCGCCGGATGTTGAGGTCATTAGAAGATCCCTCAGACCCAAAACATGTTGAAGTGGCCATGAGATAATGATTAAACCATATAGAAACCGAATAATGATGTCATGTTTAAAAGACTGAGCTATCTTGGTTTCAAAGGTTCTTTGTAGAAATAGGTACAACATGTTTTTGAACGACATTAATGTTATCTCATATATCTTGGAAAATGCCTGGTGATTTAATTGTGTTGCTTCATGATTAGCATGTTTTGCTGACCGGTCGATTTGGATGGACTAAATCTTCCCCGGTCGAATTGTCATGTCCAACGCCAAGATCTTCCAACGGCAGGTGCAAAGTTGTTTTCTTGGGCTAGGTTGGTTGAGAACTACAGGCTTAGTATGGTTCGTGGTAGTTATAGGCTCAGGCGCCGCCGTTCGCCCAAACTCTAAATTGTTTCAACTTACCCATGGTCCCACGTTAAACTTTTAATTACACTCATTGAAGATCTTCAATAAGGGTTCAATTCCCCGACCCTCGTCAAACTTCTACACTCATTGAAGCTGCGTCCTGCCGACGCATATAAGCCTGATTGGGTCATGCCATGATTGCCATGGTTCTATGTGGAGGAAACCGAAGATGCTTAAATAGAGCTCAAACAGGGTTTTTGAAGAACGAGTTTTCAAAGACCCTTACAGCAGTCACAAATCCAAAAGCCGTTTTCAATCTCCAACAAAACCATTTAAAGATATGTTGCTACAGTCGTTTTCTATGGGATTTTCCACGATTTTAGCTCTTCGTCACGACGTCATGAATTGCATTACGGGCAAACGGCGACTCCTTGCCGTAGTTATACGACAGATCTAGATTCAGCCAACTACAGTACAACTAAACCAACCAATAGACGAATATTGATAGCTGAGATGGTTGTTTATAATTATGTAAACTTATAATATATATATATACTTCCATAGATCTATATGGCTATATTGTAATCACCAAGTAGTAACTCGGGGGCCGTTTCGACCAGTGGCGGCTTCATGATCAGCAACATTAACCAACCATCCTCGCCTCGCAGCCGTTTGAAGCATCCCCATCTTCGTCAAAATAGTTCCTGGGGATGCTCAACTGGAACTCATGAAGCCTGGATGAACATGGCACCCCTAAACAGACTCACCGTGAAAACACAAGAAAAAACATGTTCCCAAACAGACCCCTACCTTTGAAAACACACTTTCCTAACTTGACCCCTGATTGAAATCCGACTCAAAGGAAAAAACAAAAATCACCTGGCGAGTTATCGAATGTTTCCAATACGGGTGAAATGTTGTTGCACGTCGTCGAATCCTTATCGAGCTACGGATGACCTCAGATGTTGACCAGCTTACAAGCATAGTGGCATAATGTCAACCACTTCATATTCACCGGGTGCGTTTCTTTACTAACGGAAAGCGTATGTATATGTATATATATATATAATTATATTATATAATTATATATATACATATACACCCAAAAAAAATTGCAATAAATCGTAAGCAATGATGAAGATTTTGAAAGATACGAAAGTCCCCCAGATCTTCACGACTTCGGGGACTTGAAAAACCAGGGCGCTTGTCACAGCGTACGGAGCTGCAAAAGTCCGCGCTGCTGCAACTGGTGCAGCTGCCATGGGGCACCCAGGGGCATTGCATCTCGCAGCCATTCTCCACGGAGTGATCCTGGCCATCGCCAAGTCGGAGCATCTGAAATCGCTGGAAATCAGCGCTGGGGAGGTTTGTGAGAAATTTGTGCAACTGACAACAGATTATGTATGATTATATGCAGACAATCTGTAGTATTGTTTAACTGATATATATATATATGGTCCCGTCCTCCGTCTCTCCACCCCCCCCCCCCATGGGTTGGGTCCCCAGGTAGTAGCCCCAATTCCCTTCTATTTGCAAGCTATTGGCAGCATTTCTGAGGTCCAGCGTCGTATTTGCTAGGTCTTTGCAGCATTTCTGACTACCAGCCTCGCATTTACTAGGTACATGCTACCTTTTAGGCGACCTACGTAGCACACATACTCCTTCAAAGTACCTACGTGCTACCTATAGTCATACATACATGTGCTATGTATCTACTGTATCTACTTCCTGTTTACTACCTGTGTACTCTGACAACACTACCTCTGTTGAACATATACCGTACCTACCATACATGTCAATGATGCCATGCATACCATACCTATCATATCTATCATACATACCATACATACCATACATATGAAATGTAATTACCACACCTACCATACATACAATAGCATACATACAATAGCAAGCATACATGCCATACATACCATACCTACCTTAGATAGGACATATTCCATACCCATCATAGTAACCATACATACCATACAGACCATACATACTGTCATATCAAACATACCATATCCAACAGACTTACATACCATACCTACCATCCATACAATACCAACCACTCATGCCATACATACCATACCTACCATACATACCAAACATACCATACTTTCCAAACATGCCATACCAGACCGACCATACACACCATACATACCCACCATACCATACCACACCCCCACCACACCACAGGGGGGGGAGGGGGACAGTGCCACACCCCCACCACACCACAGGGGGGGAGGGGGAAGATCTCATATGGGACCAGTATATGGGACCCATCCACCACACCACAGGGGGGGGAGGGGGACAGTGCCACACCCCCACCACACCACAGGGGGGGGAGGGGGAAGATCTCATATGGGACCAGTATATGGGACCCATCCACCACACCACAGGGGGGGGAGGGGGACAGTGCCACACCCCCACCACACCACAGGGGGGGAGGGGGAAGATCTCATATGGGACCAGTATATGGGACCCATCCCATATGGGGGGGGGGAGGGGGGGGGGTGGCAGGGCCTGGTGCATATATAAGTCATTGATATGGTAAACAATCTATAGTATTGGATAGTATTATTGGGGTATACTGTATGTGAAATATCATAGACTGAGACAAGATTAGCATCAGCTACAAGGCCGCAAAAAACTGTGAGTCCTTGTCAAACCAGTTCTTTTCGCAAGTAAGCCTCGGTTGGGTTGCTCAAAGCAAGAAGTTCAAAGGATTGGATCTTTAACTTTAACTGCATATTTTCCTTTCGACCAGTTCTGGGAGAAAATGGAAATTGACATATTTTACCATCCTATATGTTTGCTCAAACCATAAGAATATATCCTCTGGTAAACTAACATAACTATGGAAAATGATGGAAAATGACCATTTTCAATGGGTCAATCAACTATTTCTATTGCAATTTTCAATGGCAAACTGTTAAATTACCAGAGGGTATAGGAAACAAAATGGATATGGATGGAAACCGCCAAAAATGGGGAATGTCACTAGTGTCAATTGCTTTGTGATAGCCACCCGGGCACCATATGAGTCGGGTCGGGTCATGATCCCAGCTTTTTTCAAGCCACGAGAATCGAAACCACCAAGCTACCCTCTGGTAATTTAACATAGCTATTGAAAATGACCATAGAAATAGTGGATTTTCCCATTAAACCTGGTGATCTTCCATAGTTATGTAAACGTTTACCAGAGGGTAAATGATCTGGGCAAACTGCGGCAAACTATGGCAACTTCACCAAGCAAAATCGGAGATCAAACATGGGTCATTAAATGTCCTCATGGGTCACATCACCCAACCATGAATGGTATATGGTCTTTTTTATGGCTACTATTTCAGGTGATGTCCAATATTCCCAAAATGGGACAGTTCCCAACCCCTGTCAAAATCCCAAAAAACCTTCAGGATCCAAGTCGCTGGAAGCAGGTCGATGCGTCACACCTGAGAAGCGAAGGCGCACGAGGGGTGGGTGGAATCCAGCAGCCGGCCAGTGATGGATGTCATCTGTTTGACAAATCGTTAATGGATGGTTAATGGATGGTTAATGGATGGTTAATGGTTAGTGGTTGATGGCAAAATGAAAACGACAACATACAAAACCCAGAAGGCTTGAAACCATGTCTGTTTTTAGCTGCGACATCCTTTGACCATATAGTTACATATAGTTACCATGGGCATCTTCACCTTCGCAACAAAAAGAGCGGTTGTTTTTTGGAAGACAATCCCAACTAAACCGTGTCATGGTCCCTGTGAGCCGAAATCCCCATATTTGGATTTTGCAATCCCCGGCTTTGTTGATTGAATTTTCCAGAGCTGGCTTGTGAAGAAAAGCCAATCCCCACTAAAAAGCTGTTTGCAGTTGCTTGTACGTACCACGTACCATTTCCCAAACTAACATGTCATGGACGCTTAGAATCGCCCATTTTTTTCAGGAAAGAAATCAAATCTATTCCAACGAAAAATGGCAGGGTCATGATTTGGAGCCGTACCCAAGACATCCCTAAACATTGACCGCCCAGTTCTGCTACGCCGGCGCACTTGGTGCACGTGGCGTGTGGCAGAAGTGGACAGTGCAGCTCGCAGCCATTGCTGACAGTGCCGTCTGCATCGTAATAACCTGGCATCTGTGTGGTTTTAGATTTTAGATATGTGGGGATGGTATCATATTTGGGGAAATGAACATCCGTTTACCAGCTATTTTGGGGTTCACCAGGGTAGGCTTTTGATGCATGTCAACCTTAGATATGCTTACATTCCCAACAAAAACATGTTTGTTTGTCAAAGTCTTGACATTTTATGACCTAGGTCATGTCAATGTGGATATTGCCATCTAAAGTTGCCATCGGTTACATGCGCGTTGTATCAAAGGTTTGGATGCTTTTCTCACACGCTGACCTTGGGAAGACTTTAAATGGGAACTCCCCAAATCATTTAACATGTTGAAATGCCCATCGTGTTGGTGATATGGCCACTGACCATTTAACTTCACCCACATCAAATACAACAAGTTCTTCTTTCTCTATGTCCCATTTATTGTCGGTGTGATAGGTGGTTGAATCCAAATCTTGAACCAGTTTTCATATTCACGTTCATTCATGTAATGATTGCTTGAAATGCCTGGATCAATGACCCATACCAGCCATGTCTGGCATGTTTACCTACATAAATGGCTTGCTTTGGGGCTAAATGTATGATTGCATTAGTGAAAAATGATTGTGATGATAACAATGATAATAAACATGATGAACATCATGATCATCATGATCATCATGATCATGATGATGATGATGATGACGACGATGATGACGACGATGATAATGATAGTGATATATAACAGCGTATCTTGTATATAGTACTAACAAATATATGGTATTACTCTGGGGCATGGCTCCTCACACCACGCCAGTTTCCTGTGTCGCGTGTCCCCCGCGCCTGGTTCGCAGTTCATGGCATGACAAATGCCCGGCTCCTGGCACCTGGAACATCGCCATGTTTTCAGATGTTTTTGTTCAGGCTGAACAAAATCAATCAAAATCAAACAATCAAACGATATTCTTCCCCAACTGCGTTAGCTTATAGGTCTCAGCCCAGATAAATAAAGGTTCGGTGCAGGCTGAGGTTCCGGTGCGGGGCTTCCGGGGATGCGGATGTGCTGGTTCCGGAGGTTCCGGTGTGGGTTCCATTGTTTGTCTCCCGAGGTCAGGGTTGAAACTTGATTTAGGTGTTCACTGGCTGCTGTCACTCTTACCTACCACCTGTTGGGGATACCACCTGGGCTTATTTTTAGATAAGGTCTGTATTTTTGATCTGGGCAAAGTATTATATAAATCAGCTTTTGGTGGTCAAGCTGTGTTCAAGATGCATTTAACAAAGTAGTTAAGCGTCTGAGAAAGTTATAGTTTGAGGAACAGTGGGCCATGAAGTGTGAGAGTAAGAATAAACGGCACTAGGAACGGTGCGTAAAGTTGGTCTTCCCCATTATGTTGGAACTTGGTTTCCACACTCTGCAACTTGGGCGACAATGGGAAGTATGACTCTCCCTGGGTTTCGTGATACAAGATCAAACATGTTGCTTCACCAAGCAGGTTATTGGACAGGGCTTCTTCTCGTGGCTGCAAGCTGCAAGTTATGCCATGAAGGTTTTGTTGCTGGAATCAACTTCCAATTCCATCCCATGTCCATCCCAGAGTCCCTAAATATAGTCATATATGACAGTTATAAAAGTTACAGCGGTTATAACAGTTATAAAAGTTATACAAGTTATTAAAAGGTTATATAAGTTATATATAACTTATATTAGCTATAAAAGTTATCATACAGTTATATATAACATCCATCCCAAAACCAGCGGCTCCAGGTTTTTCCGGCCTGGTACACTTGGCCATCGGCAAATCCGGGCAGCTGCCCTCGCAGCCGTTCTCCACCAGGCCGTCAGCGTCCCAGAAGTTCTCCAGGCATTGCAACTGGCTGCAGCTCCCGGGGCTGCCGCAACGCACGCCTACGGTCGGGAGTTGGGATGGGATGAGTTGTAGCACTTTACCCTCTGGTTATGTCAAAATAGCTATTGAAAATGGCCATTTATAGTGGATTTACCCAATGAAAATGGTGATTTTCCATAGCTATGTTAGTTTACCAGAGGGTACTGTTTTTTTTGGATATGTAAAAATCATAAGATAAAATATAGATGTTGGGTCTGTTGGGTTATGGATTCTGAATTAAACATGACATATACCCGGCCTGGTAAAGTAAGAGTTTGCTATAATGGAAGGATGGGGAAGGGAGAATGTTCCCCCATAGGTGATGATGAGTTGTAACACCTAAATTATGATGGGGAGATGTATAAATTATAAGCCTATCATGGGATATAGGATCACATAAATTGGGGATACCCTCTGTCAAACTAACATAAAGCTATTGAAGCCATGGCCATAAAGAAATAGTTGATTTACCCAACTATAAAATTGTTATTGTCCATAGTTATGGAGCAGTTTACAAGAGGGTCATTTTCGCAACTGCCCAAATAGTTAGATTGGTAAAATGCGGATCGAAGAATAGTGTTATAATTTATATGTCGATCTTCTTGGGGGTTGCTAGATAGTTGAAATGTTTGTCTTCTATCTGTCTTATGTCTGCCTGTAAATAGTTTATCTGTCTATTTCTCTTTCTATCTGTAAAGTTGTTTGGTTTTGTGTCAGCATTTCATGAAATGGAAGTTATTTACAATTAGATTAGCCAAGCATCGGGGATATTAAGCAGCAGAAACTGACATGCAAATGCAGCTGATACAACTGATCGAGATGATCCAACTGTGAAGTGATACGACATATAATATACACACTTCATAAGTGGATCATCAAATCCGTTAATGACCGCGATGTCTCCCCAGAGCAGGGCCGCGCACAAACTGAGATCAACAATGCCTGTAGCTTTCGTCTGTTCTTTTCACCGAATGATATATGTTGAGTCAATTGGGTATCATCATCCTATCTGTGAGGCTATCTGTGATGGATGAAAACAACGTGTTTCTTTGGAAGCACCAAGCAGCTCAGGGCTCAACAGTCCAACGTTGACAGGATGGTGAAGTCATTTGGCGTTTCGCTTGTGGGTAGCAACCTCCAAACTCCAGCCATTCCCAAATTTGCCATCAAGGCAAGGTACATTTCGCCCCGGGCAGTTCGGGACACCCTGCTTCGCAGCCATTGTAAACCTCAGTGAAATGCCAGAATCCGACTTGGCAAAACATGGCAGAACAATGTCGTTTGACTAAAACGGGTCTGGTGTGTGGGATCAACAAACAGGATACTGTAGTAAAACTGGGAGTTCTAAGTGAGCATTTGGGGTCTATGAAGGGTGACCATTTGAAGGGTGAAGTGCTGCAAGGAGATCGTTTGAACTGCCTGGATGGTGATACACCTTCTGTTAAGCGCTATGGACTGTTCAACGGCTAGCGGCTATGGTATTGAAAGATTGCCAAAAGATGTCAACATTGGGAAAGGAAGAAATGTTTCGCTTGTGAAGTCAAAACTGGTGCACTACTACTGAACTTGACCTGAAACCAGCATTTGAAGATGTTTGAAGTATGTCTCTTGGAACTCGTTTGGGTTTCATCATGTGCACCAATTCTATGGTTTAGCCAATACAGAGGAGGATCACATTCCCACAATGCCTCTGTCCATGAATCAAAGATGAACCGGAAAACAGCTTGACTCATCCAAGCAACAAACAGTTGCTTAGAGGATCGCAAGGTCCCCTGAGTCCACTTTGGGTCTCCCAACCAAAGACATGGCTGTGATTTTGGGGATTTTCTCATTGAAAAAAAAGGCCTGAAAATCCCCCCAAAATCACAGCCATCCCCATGCATTTCCACGCAGCTTCCCAAAAATCCCAAGGAACAAAACCGTCTGCATCAAAGAAGTTCGGCTCGCACTCCAAATCCGTGCCTTGGTCGTTTGCTTCGGTGAGGTCGAGGCCGGCGGTGAAAATTCTGGGCCCGAGACCAAGGGATGATGCCATTTTCACCCAAGACCAGGTGCCAGCGAAACCGCCAAGGCCGCCAAGCTCTGGAGAATTCATGGTTTTTCTTGGGATGATCAAGTTAGTTTCACTTAGTACTTTCAGTTTCTAGCATAGGAAAATCACCTACGAATGGGGGATTCTCCAGCAAGCCATGTTTGCTTACCGGAGGGAAATTACCCATGTTTTGGATGTCCCAAGACCGCTACCTCCACCCGGGCTGGTGCTGGCCTAAGGTACATGTGGCAGCATCGCTGCAGTCCGTGCAATTGCCGTGCGGCAGAGTGGGACAACGAACTTCGCAGCCGTTGTCGGCTTTGCCTCAGTCTGGAGGGTCTGAACCACATATCATCTGGGCATCATGATACTGTGGATGGTCGCGAAATCCTGCACCAGTTGAAAACAATGGTAAACATCCCTTTATTCATAGGGTTTCAACCATCCCAAATTGGTGGTGCAGGATTTCGCTGGCCCATCCACAGTATATCAGTCCTGGTTCATCGGATTTCCCATGATGGATGATCATCCTCACTTGGGATTTCCTATGATGGTTAATAATATATCTATAATGGGATTATAATGGGATAATCATCAATAATGGGATTATATCATAATAGTAGTTATAATACCTATAATATCTGGTTGCTGGTATACCTACCCCTCTGAAAAATATGGAAGTCAGTTAGGATGATGACATTCCCAACTGGATGGAAAAATAAAAAAATGTTCCAAACCACCAACCAGATAATCAAGCAACAGGGGGCCTTGAACACTGCCCATCTTCTCTTACAGAACAATCCTCTATTGTGAGGTCGTTGGGAGAACACATATACAATCCAAACCATCGACGCTGCTGAGACAGATATGTTTCAAACCCTACAATGTGTACCCCCAAATGAACCATCCACTTCGGTAAATATACCGGAACCATGAATGCAATGATTGATAGGGTGATGTGTACACAACCAACTAGCAAATTAAGAATCCATCTTTGCCAAGAGCATCCTCCAGGGTAAGGGTGGAAATTTAAAATGGTTGAACAACCAGACACACTACGTTGATGGGCCGTGGGATTAGCTAACTGGCTAGTAAGTGCAACCCACTGTGTGTATATAATGTGTGTGTCCCAAGTATAATCATAATCAATTTACTACCTAGTTAACTATCTCCATGGCCCATCTAAGTACATGTGTGGTTCTTTCGTAAAGTCATGGCAACCTCTTCTTCACTCCTGTCATTTCTGTCATTTGAGATGTGATGACCCACATGAGATCAATTGACAGCTTCAGCCTTGCTGTCTCATCCCATTCATCCAGAATAATAATGTCTCCCCACTCCCAGAGGTGACCAAATGTCCGAAAAATTGATGATACTCCAAACATCTTCCACTCCAAAAAGTTTCCTCCCCTCAGACCACTCCATCTGCACTATTCTTCAAGGGGGCACTTAACAAAGTATTCCCGCGAGATTCACCATAAATGGTCATTCACCAATATCCCCAAACTACAAAATCCCTTCACCAGTTGATGTTTCAATAATCATGTTCATGGTTCAATCCCGATCATATGTTGGACCCCTATCTTGGTGCTTGAAATCAAACTAGTTGGCGAATGAATTGCAAAATTCATGAGATTTATATGACAAACACCCACATACCAACCAACAAAAATATGTCCGGCATCTTCCTTTATATTCCTTTTGACGCGTAATTTCCAATTGTATTCAGTTTCTATTGATCTGTTATCATCCTTTGTATGCCATTATGCTTAAATTTTCAGTTATAAGGATGGTATAACCACTGACTTTAGCCAAAATGAGCTAATTACTGAGGTATTAAACCAAGGTAAACATAGGTAACCTATGGTTTTTCCATGTTTTTTCTTACCAAAACCTTTCCAGCGCCCAAAAAAAAAAAAAAACAGGTCCATCGCCAGGTGACCATCAAAGTCGAAAGCCCCTTTGGTGCAGCTGTATTTCTCACAGCTGTCCCATGAGGAGCACTCCGAACCTCGTTCGGCTCGGGGCGGGAGGAGTTGTAGATATCGATGTTTTTTTACTGCGGAACTATTGAAAAATACCGAAATACCTTTGAAATAACATGTGCCTTTAGAAAATGTATCCCAAAATTGTTGACACCATCTGAGGCGAGTTGTTGGTAGCCCGGTCTATGTGGCCGCTAGAGCAGGTACATGGTCATAATCAATAGGGTTAATCCCAGCTTATGAGTTTGATTCACCATGGTTATACCCGCAAATGTGATAAACCAATAATATGACCACCCACAATGATGTACCGGAAATGGGGACATTGATCAAAATATATATAAACACGTCAAAAAAATATCCTACCTGCATCAAAAAATACCGGAAATGGTTGGTAAAAACCAACGACCCAAATCGGGGGTTCATATTGCCACAATTACCATAAGTACAGTGGATATATCTCAATTTAGTAGCAATGTTCCAGTTGTAAGCATAACTGCATCCATAGTTTGCAGCACCATAATAATAATAACTATATATATATACTATATATATATACTGTCTTTGCAATAGCTGTATACCTAGGTAGTACCTATACATTAATATATACATGAAGTACCAACTGACACAATGAATCTCTATGTTTCAAGATGTTGTTGGCCAAAGAACTTTGCCATTCATGAACTAAGACCACCTATCAAAAACAATAGAGCTACAAAAAACAAGCTACTAAGAATAGAGCTAAGGATTAACAAACCAAAAACAGCGCATCTTCCAAGAACTTTGATCTTTCATATACGATCACAAGAGGAAAAAGAAGCATAAAATAGTCAAAAAAATGCTTAAAAGCACGTATTTTTGGGGACCTGGTGGCGTACCAAATGTATATATATATATATACTCTATATGTATATATATACATATATATATATACATATATATATATACATATATATATATGTATATAATATTAAACATATGTGTGTGTGTGTATATATATATATATATGTGTATCCTAGTGGTCCTAGTTGCAACAATAGATGCGATACCACAATTCTCGTAGCCTCTCTTTTGTTGCCAAGGAGCACATGGCATTGGGCAAGGCTTGACAGCCCGCCTCGCAGCCATTGGAGCTGTCCCCATCCACGTCGAAGAAGTTGGCCCTGCGCAGAGGTCGGGGTGGGCTGCAGGATCATCCTACCCAAATAAACAGTCAAATCCCTCTTCGCAGAACTTCCTAACGTCAATTTGAAAAGAAGGACGCCAGGTAAAGATTTTGGCCCAAGTAGACAATTATAGACACAGGTCTTGTTCAGCCGACTTGTGCTTCGTAGATGACCACATGTTACCATTTGTTTCCACATTTTTTGGGGGGAATTCAATCACTTCCCCACAGGTGACTTCTGAAAGTAGTTGTTGGTGCTTCATAAGCCCTAAACATGGCCCCAAACATGAAATTGGCCGACCTTTGGTCATGTTGAACCGGAGATCCATCCTTCATAGGCTACATTCCCCACATAACATCTCATCAGAACTCGCCCGGTCTCCTGCAACTCACAGATGTGCAAGTTGTTGCACTGCTGCAGCCCAAACAAACACCTGCTGCAGCCGCATCTCTGCGGTGTAAAGAGATTTTCACCGCTTCCGAAGTGGAGTCCGATGTCGAGTCGTTTTTGGTGCAAACAAAAACAAAAAAAACTGTGAGAATCCCGTGACATTTGGAAAAGAAATGCACTGTGTATAATATTATAAATATATATATATATCATGTATTATTACATATCAAGATATATATATATATATTATCATATTATATCTATATAATTTGAAATCAACCCCAGCAGTCTGAGCTAAGTGTCAACCTCATGCAGGTTTGGGACCTATCATTTGCCCCCCTATATTAACTGAAGTTGAAACATGTTTCAGTGTATAACATGTTTCAGTGTATTGCATTATGAAGATGAACCGGTAGCAAAACGACATCTATTACAATCACACCTCTACATTATAATTATACTGTATATGTATTTATATGTATCTATAGCTCAATATAGCTCTAGTAACATGTAATCTCTCTTTACATATATACAATTTATGAGCACTATGTGGAATTAATCAGTATACACTCAATATCTTGGACACTCTGCAACACATCTATCTTCGCTATGTCGCCAAGATGTCGCCAAGAATCCATTGGGAACCTCCGGACAGTGCACTTCGCAGCCGTTCATCGGGTTGTGATCCAAGTTGAACCAGTTCTCATCACAGTGAACCGCGGTGCAATTGCTGCCTCCTGCGGTGCTAAAAGCGGTCCGAACAACGGGTGGGAGATGATATGCGTTGAAACAAAGTCACCATCGAATCTATAGCTATGATTGATATAATTCATTATGATCGCCTTTCTTAGAACAAATCCCAATTTCAGACTGTAGATTTGGGATACGTCGTCTATGGGTGGCTAGATATCCCAGTAAATCCCTATCAAATCTCATCAAATGTCCGTTAAATTCCCATCAAATTCCATCAAATTCCATTAAATTCCATTAAATTCCATTAAATTCCATTAAATCTGATCAAATCCCTGTCAAATCCCATTAAAACCCCATTCAAATCCCCAGATTTTACTCCACCAAGTGATTCCACCCCATTTTCTGCACGATCTCCACCCACGATCTCCACCTCCACAGCGAACGCAAAGGCCATGCGCCACGGAGGGGCAGGTGACCTCGCAGCCGTTCTCAGTTCGGCCATCCGCATTGGCACGCCCTGAGGTTCCAGGGAAAGACGGGACGAAAATCTGTGGAATCCATGGAATTATAGTTATAGTGATAATCTATAGTTATGATATGATCTATGTTTACAACTATAATTCCATATTACAACTATAATTATAATCTGTGTAATATATAATAATTGTACTCTATATATAGTACTCTATGGTATTATATATATATATATATTATAAGTGTACTCTATGGTATATTGTACTCTAGTATATAATAGTACTATATAATCTATGGTATTATAATTATATATATATATAGTACTCTATGGAATCTATCTATGGATTATCCATGGAGTTATCGTTATAATCCATAGTTATGATATAATCCCCCAGTGATAATTGGAATTTATAGTTGTACTATATATATAATCCCCTAGTGATAATCTATAATCATACGATAATTACTATAATCCTATAGTTGTACTATATAATCCATGGAATTATGATGGGTCTTACGAAATCGATATGGGTTTTACGAAAGGGAAATCTATGGTATTAACTGGTATCCATGTGGAAAAACGATTGGAAAATGGATGGGAAAATCTATAGGAAGCTGCTATCCATATGGAGAATCGGAAATGATACCAAATCTATAGGGATGAAGAGAATTTTCAGGAAAGATTAGGGGAAGAAAGGGGTTTTATGGTTATGTAACAGATATGTACTTTGGTTTCTATATGTGGTTTGTGTTTTACCCAGGCATTAGATTCAATGGGGTTTAGCTAGCTAAGTTGGTGAAAATAAAACCGCATCTATGTATACTACTATATCAATCGATACAAGTGGTGCCCCATAGGTAGCTAACTTGGTTTAGTTCGCTAGTGATGAATTGAACCTGTGATAAATCTTTTTGGAGCTACCAATGTTGGTATCGGTATCGATTGTTAAATAGGATATTAATGATTACAATATATATATATACACATACACACATTGGCGTGCACAGTATATTTTAAAATCAATAATTCCCCCCTGATATATATGGTTATATATTACATGTATTAATATATAATATATATAATTATAGTGTTTCGTATGTACCGCTATAACCACATGTTACCAACACAGTAGTTATATCTAGTGATGGGGATTGATGGCTCCGCACATTTCAACATGGAATAAAACTGGCAGTGATCTTTTCGTAGACAACTGTCCGGGACACGACCTGAACAACGGAGATATGTGGAGATTGAACCTGGGGAATCTCACATTCCAATTCAAAACAAGGTGTCCGATGTCAGTTCTTGTTTGGGATTGAGTAAACTCTATCAAAACCTAGTAGAGAATCATCCAACATCCTCGTGCATTCCTCTCCTTTCTGATTTCGACCCATCTTAAAGTGCTTGAATCAGTTCATACGTATAAAAATCTTCCCATTCTGAGGGACACCCACAAAATCATCCGTGTCTATCGTTCTGGGAGTCAATGAGTTTTCACCAATCCCACAGCCTACCACCAATCAGCAATCTTCCGCCAGCCTGGGTCACACTGCACTGCAGTGCACGTGTCCACATCTGCGCAAGCAGCGCAGGAGCCTCCTTCCACACTGGGACATAGCACCTGCATTGGGGTTGGAAGTTGGTTTATGGCACGAAAATCTGGGGAAGTGGCCAGTTTCCTGCCTGTTTCCTGAAAGATCCCTTGAAACGCAAAAGTGGCTTCAAGGTTTCCCCGGGAAAATAAACCAACGCGAAGGTCTAGAGCTGACCAGGCCAAATTCCAATGGTCCAATGGTCAACATTCCCATTCCCATCATCCCAACCAAAATTTAGAGGGCAAAAGCAAACCTAATGAAAATCTGAGGTGACCTAAATGTTACCCAACCACATACTAAAACATCCGCAACCATCATTCCGTGACAAGTGTAGTAAACCACATGAGGCCATCTTATGGACTTGATTTAAAATCTGAGGACCAGGGAGGTTGACAAACTGGCACTAGGGAAACATCATCCAAGGCAGTTGCTAGGTGTATCCCCTCACTTGACTCACACCCATATACTAATCATACAATCTATACTACGCATATGTATATATATATATATTACGTATATGTATGTACGATTTAAATGGATTATATGATACAGTTGGCTGTACATATCTATATGCGCTATCATACCTACTCTATCATATCTATTTATATATATATATATGTATATACGTAGTCTATATATTGATTATACATGTGGCAGTTTCACCACCGGACTATAGATTTGTGGATTAGACTACCATTCATGATGGATTAGACTCTAGACTATCCCATATGTCATTAATCCCCCTATTTTCATTAGCACTATCATCATCCTAGCGTGGCAAAACTAATATCTAAATATAATCAAATATATAGATATATATATATAAATAGTATTCCATCATATTCCCATTTTATGTTTTTTCCCCACCTGCCAGGTGAGGGTTGTTAGATTTTATGTCAGTTGCCTCCTCCTCCTCCTTCTCCTCCTTCTCCTCCTCCTTCTCCTCCTCCTCCTCCGCCTCCTCGTCCTCCTCGTCGTCCTCGTCGTCCTCGTCGTCCTTGCTCAACTGCGACCCGCGATCCACAGTGTTCTCTGCCGGACCTCAACCACGACCATCCACGCCCAGTGTTCCCTGCCGGACCTCAACCGCGAGTATCCACGCCCACCCTGCCGGACCTCAACCACGACCATCCCCGCCCAGTGTTCCCTGCCGGACCTCAACCACGACCATCCACGCCCAGTGTTCCCTGCCGGACCTCAACCGCGAGTATCCACGCCAAGTGTTCCCTGCCGGACCTCATGTAGGAAGATATGGGACAAAGAATGTGCAGAAGAAAGTTAGAAAGAATGTCAGAAAGAATGTCAGAAGATATGCCAGAAGATATGCCAGATAGAATGCCAGAAGATATGTCAGAATATATGCCAGAAGATATGCCAGATAGAATGCCAGATAATATGCCAGATAGAATGCCAGATAGAATGCCAGAAGATTTGCCAGATAGAATGCCAGAAAATATGCCAGAAGATATGCCAGATAGATATGTCAGAAGATATGCCAGAAGATATGCCAGAAGATATGCCAGAAGATATGTCAGAATATATGCCAGAAGATATGTCAGATAGAATGCCAGAAGATATGTCAGAATATATGCCAGAAGATATGCCAGATAGAATGCCAGAAGATATGTCAGATAGAGTGCCAGAAGATATGCCAGATAGAATGCCAGAAGATTTGCCAGAAGATTTGCCAGATAGAATGCCAGAAGATATGCCAGAACATATGCCAGAAGATATGCCAGATAGAATGCCAAATAGAATGTCAGAAGATATGTCAGATAGAATGCCAGAAGATTTGCCAGTAAGAAAATGTATAAATGTCATGGTGGGGATCACACGAAGTAAAGTAATTTTTTTTATATCCATGTTCTACTGGAGGATGATTACATGGGCCTCGCATCCCGTGGACATCTTGTGGTCGGCATCGTAGTAGTTACCTGAGGTGAGCGACAACGGAGGATGTGCCCAGATGGGCTGCAGTGAAAAGGCTGCAGAAAATGAATGGGAAATGATGAGAATGTGGTGTTTACCCACTAAAAATATAACTTATCATATATATATAATTATATATATAAATAATATAACCATCCTAAACCAAAGCCCCATTGGTCAGTTTTATATAGAATTTTGACGTTGGTGACCGGCAAAAAAGAAGGTACCAGGAAATATCGAGAAATTATGACCCCAGTCATTCGCCAACCTGAAACTCGTTCCCAACGGAACCAGGAACCTCTCTCGGATACCCCAAAAAAAAAAGTGCCATGGAACTCAAAAAAAAAGGGAAGGTGCGATTCACTCAATGCCATAGTCACCATCCCCAATATATCCAATATTCATTGGATGACCATTTTTGATGGGTTTTTCAACCATCCCCACTGGTAGTTGTTGGGGGTTTACCAGCCAGCCACACCAGCCATGGCCACGTGGTTTACCACGTGTTCCAAGTCAGGCAAAGGTGCGGTGACATTTCATGAAGTCGCGGGTGTTGGCCTGTGCGATCCAAAGTGCATCTGAAAGTTACGTGTCAACGATAGATATCTAAAGATGTTAGACACTAAGTTGACACATGTCTATATATATATACATAGATAGAATTGTAGACACTATCTATAGACATCGAACCGTTTTAGATATCCATAGATGTCTGTAGATGTCTAAAATGTTTTTAGTCTCAGTCTGCCTTTATCATGCCCTCATTTGCAGGGATCTGTAGAAATCCATATCTATGATCACGCAGGATCAGCGATCCTAAACTGAAATGTAGATAGAATAAATAGATGATGATATGAAATAGATTAAGAACATTTAAGAACTATGGCGCTGTTAACATCTGAAATTTTATACTGGTTGGTGGTTTCAACCCTTCTGAAAAACATGAAAATCAGTTGGGATCATAATTCCCAATACATGGAAATTCATAAAATTCCATGGTTCCAGTCAGCACCAACCAGTATATCTATTGAATTTAGCCCAAAATGAAATCCCAATTCTCCATCCCAATGCCGACATGAAAAGGAAACGAAACTTAGCTGCAATCAACCCTTCGGGTTCGGCCGCCTCGTTTCACTGGGTGAAAGCCTGAAGATTGACATGAAACTATCATGTTGTACTGTTGTTTGAGACGATCCCCACACTATGGAAGGCTATGGAAGTGTGGAACCGTGGTAGTTCTGGGGTATATTGCGCCATGATGATTCATCATCCCCATCTGGTTATTTAACATAGCCATGGAAAATCCCTTATAAATGGAGGTTTCTAGCTGGGAAAATCATCTATTTCTATGGGCCATCTATACCATGGCTATGTTAAATAACCAGAGGGTAATCACGCATTTACTGACCATGGATCCGAAGTTCATGATGATATGACCTGTCCCCACCTGGTTCAGTTCTCAAAGGGTTGCACCACACTGTTGCAACTGCTGGTGAACCTCAATATTGAGAGCTTAGCAATAATACAACATTTGGGGAAAACTGATTCTGTTGTGTGTTCATTATATAAATATATAATTTGATATCAGGAATGTAATTGTGCAACTAAAATCCATTCATTGCGAAATCCATGTACAATTCTTCTGGTGTTTCCACTCCATCTATCCTCTGTTTTTTTAAACATACCTATGGAAAACGCTCCATTTATGGATGTTTTGCCTATATTTACCTATTACGAATTCTGATTTTTCATAGGTACCTCAAAAACCAGGTATATATAGAAGGTCATACCTGGTTAAGGTCATTTTACCTATATTAACCTACATGAAACCAGGTATGACTTTTACCAATTAAGGTTAAATAACCAGCAGGTCATTGGACCATTGGTGCCCTCAACGTGAGAAGTTTCGTCCCAAGAGCCTCCTCACAGCTCACGCAGTCAGCATTCAGCGGAGAGGAACAGCTTTCTTCGCAGCCGTTGCTGGCGTTGCCATCCGTGTCGAAACCTCATGGCCCGGTGAAACCGTGAAAATATGCGAAAATTCCATGGCTGAAAATGGGAACCCGGGTCTAGAACGGGATTCCCAAATGATGAGCCCAATGACGGCCTCACTCCCAATGTATCACTACTATAAATCAATATTATAATAATAATAATAATATATATATAATAACTATGATTAGTTGGGTGGTTATAACATGTTATAACCAATGGAAAATTCGTTGCTAGCAACTAATCCCGAACGAATCATCCGCTAGGTCAAGGAAACGTCTTGGTATGAAAAACCTGTGGTTATTTAACATACCCATGGAAAATCATAATTTTTAATAGGTAAACCATCTATAAATTGGCCATTTTCCATGGCTATGTTAAATAACCAGAGGGTACTGTATGTTGCGTGAATCATTGTGAAACAACCCTTAAAATCGCCACCGGCCGCAGTTCAGGAACTGTTGTTGAAACACTTCACAGCCTTGCAATTGTCCAAAGTGGTGCAAGAGGTGCAGGTTCCACCAGTGACATTCCTCAGAACGGCTCAAAAACGCTGCTGTCATACCCAAAGATACTGCTTGGTTGAGAGAAATTCATAGAAAATCCCAGTAAGTGGATCATAATATCATAATATATCATCATAATCCAGGCTAAGCACACAATTAAACCAGTTCCATTTGCTTAAGTTACAATCACAATAATCCAGTTTAAGCACCCAAACCAGTTTATGTCATCTGATTTCTTGTATAATCATCTCCACAGTTGCACATCGAAATCCTTGAACTCCCGGATCTCCGAATCTCTAAAACATGGTCCCAGTAAGTATGGACTCCACTGCATGAAATATGATGTTACCATTTGATACAATATCGTTAATAAAATATGATTTCAATAACAATATCATATTGATTACAAATTGTGTGGACCCAACAAAAACACTCTTTTTATAAATTAAAAAATAAAAATAAATAAATGTAGCTCCATCGATGTGTGATCGTTTCTCGAGCATCAGAGCCATTTGCCAATAGCTCTACAGCCATGAAGACATCCACAAGTCGCTTCTGCCCAACAATGCCCCATTACGACAAAATAGAGGTGCTGGTATGGTATAAAGTTTAAAGTATACCATTTCTTATCACGTACCTATTATAACTTGATCCTGTTGATTGTTGGAGGGCTAACTCCTCTATTTTCATCAACCAGTAGAATCAGATCTATGGAAGTTTCGCCCGATGAGATTGGGAACCATCCCCAGCTATATGGCTACAACTTGGTTATAACCATCAGGATACATCAGCTAAGAACCACGAGTTCTTTCAAATATATATCATAGACCCAATAACATCCATAAACCCTGGTTCACCTATATACTGTAGTTAATATTGTATAAACCAACTCCCAGCAAACTCATATATGTCTTGGTTGCCTTGTTTCTTGTTTCTCAACTGCAAGAATCAAGTCCGAGGTTGAAGGGCTAACTCTATTTTTATCAACTACTATCTGGTTGGTGGTTTCAACCCCTCTGAAAAACATGAAAGTCAGTTGGGATGATGAAATTCCCAACTGAATGGAAAAATAAAACATGTTCCAAACCACCAACCAGCTATGGTTTTTCCTGGTGTTTTGCTTCAAGGATCATACAAACACTCTCGCAGCCATTGGAGTTGTCGCCATCGAAGTTGAAGTGGTTCGGCGGACACGAGGTCAACTTGTCGCAGACGTCCGGCTGCCTGCACTCCAGGCACAAGGCCCACACCACGCGCCTCGCTTCGCAGTGTGGTGGAAAAGAACGTGAGGTTAGCCACTGGTCAACTCACATAACCTATGGAAAATCGCCCCTTTTTTTAATAGGTGATCATCTAAATTGGACAATGATTGTATATAAATGTATACATACCATAGGTTACATTTTGATAGCTGACATGTTTTGATAAAACAATGTAAAACATCTAAATTGGCATTGTCAATGGCTATGTTTCCATCAAATCTTGGGTTTCTCCTCATGGCTGGCTTTTTCGATCACCAAGACACGGGCAGGTGGTTTCGCAGCCGTTGTCCGGGGCGCCATCGACGTCGAAATAGTTTTCTGAGGTCGGTGACAACACAGATAGGGTTAACTAGGGTTTAGAACTTGGTTAAGTATATTAACTATATAGAGTTTTTGATAATTGATATAACTGTACATGCATAATATCATACATACACGACATACACACATATCTATAGTCTATACATCGTATTCTGTGACTACCCTTAGGATCCTTTAGTTAATTTAACAGTTTGCGATGCAAAAAAAGATGGCCCCTTCAGTTCGGTGATTCACCGTTTTCATGTATATGTTTTTATGGCCCGTTTATCATAGTTATCTGAAATGGCCAGAGGCTATGACCATCCAGCATCTGTAGATGACGCCTGCTTGTTAAAGTGGGGATTATCCATTAGATCATCAGGCCATTGGACCGGGGTAATGGCCATTGAAGGCGCAGAACCAGCAACGGAATGGAATAATGCAAATCACAAAGCGTGGAATCATCACCTATAAATTATATACAATGATATGTGTATACTATATATATATATATAGTGTTATTAAGTTGTTATTGTTATTGGTGATATGTTATCATTGTCATTGTATGTTTTATCATTGCGGCGTGTCTGTACAGTATTTAGACTCCCAACTGTCGAACTGCCGAAGTTGCCCCTCATTGACCCATAGACTTTGCAGTCATCTTCAACTGGGGATGTTTGATGCATTCAATTCCCCGTTCACCAGACGTAGCCGCCAAAATGGAAATGTTACTAACAGGAAGCAGGTGATTCATCCAAGATAAGTTGCAAAGGCATCATATATCATCATATCATATGGTGACATATTTTGTACAACTCCAATCATTTTGCCCACTCCAATCATTTTACCAAGCTACTATTGCATTCTAACTTATCGCAGACCTCGGGACTTTCGCAGTCCACACACGTTCCTGCCAAGGCAGAAATTTCTGCTGGGACTCAAGGGGCGGTAGCCATGTCTGTCTGTCTGTATGGTTGGGGTATAATTCGGCATAGTGACAGGGGAAATCATAGGGAGATAAGACAATGGGAGATATGATCTTAAATATACTGGGAGATTAGAGAATATCATAGAATATCATTTAACCAATGTGATATGTCTGGCTCTGAACGAGGCGAAAATACTCCAAACAAGTTCCACTTCAAGAGGGAAAATGATGAGTCAACACTCCCAGCCTTGCGGAACATGAGGACACGTCTCCTGGAGTGAAGTGACAACATCCCGCGTAATAAATGTTCCCCTGACCAGTTAGCTCTGAGATAGGTGACAGGTAACCAGGGTGATGGCTTACCAAGCCTGATTGTTGGGGTTACTTATCTGACAACTGGAAGATGAAGGTGTTTTTAATTGTTTTTAGTTCACTGCAAAAAGAAGTAGATACCGGGTTCCATCTGCAATTAAGTAAATGGGTTCTTTGAAGAAATAAATGCGTAGAACCTTTGCACAAGTGTGCTTGTCAGTGCACAATTTGGATATTGTCCACCTCAGAGCAAACATTGGATGATACTGAGACAAGCACAATTCCGACTGTGCGATGGGTCGAGTATCCTTTTCAGATATTTTGCCGACAGGTAGCGATAGTAGGAATGTCGCGGGGAACTTTAAAGAATATGTCTATGTGGACCAATATCGGTAGGAATCTTGAGGAGGAACAAAGTCACTAGAGATATCTGCTACCTGAAGCTTTCAGTTCTTGATCAGAACAAGTTCAGGTCAATTTAAAAACAGAGTTGTCTGAAGTTCAGGTCAATTAAATCCTTCAATTTAGTTCTTTCATCAAATCCTTCAATTTATTTCTTTCTAGAGTTATTGATTCATTAAATATCGCTTCCGTCCTCGCAGCCATTGGAGATGTTTCCATCCTCGTTGAACCAGTTCTTATCACCTCATTGGGACGTATTGGGCCTAAATCGTCACGTGATCTGACAGAAGTTAGAAGTTTCTCATCTTTCGGTTTTGAGCTTTTAACCAATAAATATATATATATATAATATTATACTATAAAGTATATACATATTCAACAGCTAAAGTATATACATATTCAACAGCAACTGCGTAGCAGTAGCGAAGATGTCAGAGTTAAGGCTACATCAGCAACGTGACTGGATTCATTTTGCCTACAAGTGGGTCCCGACGGACGTGTCCCCACTGTCAGGATTCCAAACCGTCATCAGCACATACATAGTCCCTATCCTCTGGTAATGACTAACATAGCTATTGAACATGGCCCAGTCGAAATACTTGATTTACCCATTATATAATAGCATAGTGATTTTCCAGTTCGCAAACTGTAAACGTTTACCAGAGGGTATCAGCCAAAAAACGAGAGTTTTTGAATGACAAGAACGGGTTTTGAGACAGACTCCTGCGGGATGGCCATCAATTCTCAAAACATCCAGTTTCCTGTGTCCATTCGTCGGCAATCCCTGATTTTGAGCGACAAGAAGATGGCCAGAAACTATCGGCCACCTTGAATCATTCTATCAATGGGGGCTCAATTTTGAGTGACCAAACGTTCAAGGGGAGCGCAAATCCATATCCTGAGTTGCAGCATGAATCCCCATGTGGTGATTCTTAGGTCTCCAACGTATTGCTCTGAGTCTAGATTGAGTCCCAAAACTCAGAGGTTGCTCCTTAGTTACATCCCATAATATCATACAATATCGCCATATTCTACCCTCTGGTAAACTAACATAGCTGTGGAAAATCACCATGTTTATAGATACATAATCTATGAATTGGCTACTTTCCAGTTCGCTATGTTCGTTTACTGGAGGGTATCCCCATCAAAATGCCACGAATCAGAAGGTGAATTCAATTGAAATCACCCCAGCCCTTTAATTTGACCCTACTTACCCTCTGGTAAACTAACATAACTATGGAAAATCACATTTTTTTAATGGAAAAACTCAGTATAAATGGCCATTTTCAATAGCTATGTTAGTTTACCAGAGGGTACTTACCCTGGGCTAAGAAGAGCCACTTAATTGCGATTCCAGACAATGAGCCACCAATTAGATCATCATCTGATTTCTGGGGATGGAAAGTGAACATATTTTCATATGTTCCATTGATATCCCATGTTGCATCCTATATTATAGCATATAATAATCAATATATCCCATATCATTGTAATACATATATATATAATCATATATATATTATCATATATATATATTATCATACATATATATAATCATATATAAATATATGTGTTATCAAATCATTTATTGTAGTATATTATATCCCCACAACAATGCCAATCGTAGGCACAACCAACCACTCTTTCAATCGATCGTCTTCGATAACGATCTGTTGCTTCCGAGTGACAGGTGATTTTCTGGCAACTGCCTGGCCTGTGCCGCCGCTGGCAGGGAACTGCAGCTTGGGTATCGGCACTGGATCACAAGGAAGTTGATGAGTTGGAAAAATGTCGGAATCTACCCTCTGGTGGACTAACATAGCTATTGAAAATGGCTATTTATAGTTGATTTACCCATTTAAAATGGTGATTTTCTATAGTTATGGAGCAGTTTACCAGAGGGTATTGGAAGATGCTGGAAAATGAATCGTATGTTAATTGGTTTGAAAATGTCTGAATATGTGAGAACTGCAGGCACCGTTTCGGAAAAAGACCTGATCAGGGCCATACCATGAAAAAACTCCTGGTTGAATATTTGAAACCACCAACCAGTAGTGCCATATATTACCATATGTTGGACGATTTTGGATATTGAGATTATTGGGCATTTGTTTTGCCCATCAAAAAATTATCCCACAGTATATATCCCATCATTATATCCCATATTATCCCAGTATTGTTGGTTATATATATATATACAGTATATATGAATGTGCATATTATATATATATATACATACGTATATCCCATTGAAATTGCTGCGTAGATCCCACATATATATATCCCTTGAAATTTGACCGCCCCTGGCTATTGATCAGACCGCCTGTTGCAACTCAGACATTTGGCATGGCTCAGCTCGGGGCAGCCGGTCTCGCATCCATTCCTTGGCGCGAGTGAGTTTACGCTATCTGTCTCTGTATATCCATAGATACAGATAGATTCTGATATTGTTGATGACACATGTTGATGCGGGACTTTTGGACAGCACAGAACTTTATCATGTAACGGCAGCTTTACTATGGAGATATTTTTGGAACTCTGTGAATGCACGTTGCCACCTTGCCAGGATATGGAAAAGTTGTTCTTGCACACCTCGAAGGTTGCAATGAAAACTCATTCTTTGACTTTGACGCTCCTCTCCCGGTTAAGCAATCTAAATCCATCAACTGATATGGCCCCTGGCCCCTGCAACCTATACAGTACTGTACTAAGTACTACAGTAAATGCAATATATTCATTCAATTGATTCAAAATATATCACAATAATTGATTATATATACGTATATATATATATCCCAAACATATTCTAGGTGAGTTTGCATCAATTTACCGCCGTATTTGATGGTTCCCAAAGAAATGGCATGTTTCAGTGATCTCGGTGGGTATTTCAAAAATAGTATATAATAACAATATTATATGTTCAGTCCCTGATAGTCAGATCATTCGCATATACGTATGTATACATATACGTATACTATATTTATCATATATCGTATGTCATATATCATATATATATATGATATATGTTCATATATCACATTCACCAACTCACCAACTTTGACGCCAAATATGAGCCAAATGTAGGCCATGGCAAACGAACCAGCATCACCCCGTCATCTGCCGGGCATCTGCGCCGTGTCGTCTGCGTCAAACCAATTCTTCTCACAGACCACTGACGTGCAGCGTGGTTCGCCTGGTGAGGGATTCAATGCTGCCAAAAATCAAACTCTTGACAGGTGGTTGGTGATTTCGCGCAATCCTAAAAATACTGTAGAAATTTATAGAATATTATCCTCTGGCCCACATCATGGTTTCATGGTTTAGATGACCCCCCACTAAGCGATGCAGCAAATCTCTATGACCCCCGTTCGCCTTGGCTGTCGCAGCGTTTGCAAACGCCATGGGACACGCTGGGACACAAAATCTCGCAACCTCAGGGTGTGCTGACGGCGGCTTAGTGCTGCAGGGGTTTGGGTTGAACGTTCTGGGGGTACGTCTGTATAGTAGTCTTGCTGATGATACAGTAGATGATAGATGGGAAATGAAGGGAACTTATGTGTTTCAGGAAATGATGCTGACCTTCTATCGATATATTTGGGGGGCAATTGCAAAGAAACGGAGATTGGTTCGACAACAAAAGCAAGTATTGTAAGTATTGGATAGTTTTGTTCAGTGAGGGAAACCCATGTTGTTTGGTTTTCGCCATTGTTTGAAACACCGAAACAACCGGGGTGACCTCGCAATTTTCATCGGACAGCTCCCGGGGATGGATATCGACAAAGAAATGGTCAGAGCTTGAAGCCCAACACACAGAGTCACTGAGTCAGGGCTGTTCCTCTAAAACTCATGGCAATGCACCATCATTGGATTGCTTGAAAGGAACCCGTCTATTTTTTGTCCCAGTAAATCTAGGGGTACCCTCCATCAAACAGCAAAATCCCTATGTTTTCCCAATCAAATCTCCAGTTGGGCCCATCCAAATCATCCAAGGCCAGGACCGTTCTGAGGTTTGCCATCCTCATCGTAGTAGTTGTCATGACCTTAGCGATTGCCAACCGATTCCAACCCTGATTCTGTCCCCGCCTCGGCACTAAAATGGGGACCCGTTTCGAACTTCAGCATCAAAAAAAAATCAAGAGCTTATCCCAAACCATACGCCCATTTCCCAGACTTCAAATCTGAATTTCCCATCATTCCTAACCATATCAGCTTATCAGCCCTTAAATTCCCAACAATGATACTGAAATCATAACCTCCCCATGATTCAAAAATGGAACACCAATGGTTTTTTCTCACCAAAAGAGAAACAAACTCAAGGCACCCAGCGCCAAGTGGCACTGAACCTTGGTGCAGTTGGTGGGGCCGCTGCACTTCAAACACGTCCCTCCTAAGACGTCGCCGCAGGGCGCTTCGCAGCTTTGTCGGTCTCCTCGAACTCCGTCCGTCCAAACGCTGCCACGGGGGATTCGGAGGGAAATCTAACTGTCCGGGAAGTCCAGGAGTGGGAAAAGAGACAGCTTCAAATCCAAAGGATACATGTATGCTATATATGGTAACATGGATCCCATCAATATACCCCAAATGTTAGCATATATACCATACATGATACATGGATCCGTCATGGGAAATGGGAAATGACTTGTAAAATCGGATGATTTGGTGAGTTTGGGGGAAGATTCCACTCGAAATTCATCGAGGCAAAGGACTCGCCTGGTAGCGCAAGGGTCGTTCATTTTGATCCCCTAAATTCTCTGGTAGAGTTCATGTCCATCACCATGATAAAAGATGATTAGAGGTAGGGACCATCCTGATTTTTTTTTTCGGTTCCGTGGTGAACAAAGGGGGGGACTTGCCAGAGGAACAAGTACCACGTACTGCAGCATTAGTAGCCTCTGGTGGAAAATCCACCATTGATCGTTGACTTTCCCAGCTGTACACCTCCATCGCGTTCGGGGATTTCCCAGCCACTGGGCAGCCACTGGCAATTGATGATCCGTGGCACATGGGAAAACACCATCCATGTATGGGATGGTCAAGATGTTCACACCATTCCAATATCTGTTTTTTGGATGGTTTCTATATTAAATCCCATCCTGTAAAGATCTGAAAAAATATCCCAGCCAAATGGTTGAAGTATTTCTGGCGCGGCACTTTTTCTTAAGCTCAATCCCACACCCAAAACATGTTGTCCGGCGAAATCCGCTTCAACGTGATGTTTTACCATCGATCTTCATGGTTGAAACACCAACCCCCCAGCATCGGGTCGGCAACCACTGGCGACTGCCGAGCGTCCGTCGGCATCAAACCAGTTGGCCTCGCACGCTAGCTTCGTACCTCCGAGTTTTTCGTTGGTTTATTCGTGTGTGTGTGTATAATATATATTATAATATATATACATATATATATATATGTATATGGGGGTCTGATTGTAATGGATTCTCTACATATGTATGTGTAGTACATTTACCAATATCATATCTCATTGTATAATATATAGACATGACATATGTATAGTGACTAGCAACAGGGAAGTGACAACCCATGAATGAACATTGCTTGACATGTTCATCGCGCCAAGAGACACTGGCTGGAGCTGCTACAACTCAAACCTGGGCAGATGGTTCTACTTCGAGGATCCGTAAACCACTTAGCTGGTTGGTAACCGTTGTTATAACCCATTTAGATCATTGGATAACCCACTTTTTCGGAACTTACATATATATACCTGCAGCCTCCAAAGGTCAAAAACAATTGTACTATTTGAATTTTGACCTAGTTTTCCTGGAAACCGGACAGTTTTCCTCAAAACCGTTCAAATTGGACAAATCGGCCAAAAGTTCAATTCTTGGGTTGATGAATCCCAACTTTGGCTTGAACGCATGAGCTAGCTTTAGCTCCAGGCAATATCAGCATGATCCAGTCAAAAGTTACAATTATCAACCAATGTATATATACGCTGAAAAACATGATTGTCATTGACAGGGTACCCCCATTCTCATGGTTGACCACCACTTTAATTTAATCCGTGTTCATCATGCAGTGCTACTTACTTGCATCAGAGCAAGAGCTGGTGATTCCTTCCACATGGGAGGATGTGTTGGAAGCCTTCGACCGTCAACTTGCTGAAGTCTGTCCACCCTGAAGCCTTTAGGAAGGAATATGGATGACTAAATCTGCATGTTTTGGTTTGCTTTAACCTTTTTGCGGAAAAAAAAATGGAAAAATCCGTCCAGAATTATGCGCAAAAAATACGCAAATATGCGCAAAAATCCGCAAATATGCGCAAAAATCCGCAAATCGGGATTTGTCCATTTTCTGGATTCCTTTGTTTCAGGTCACTCTGTCCTAATTCCATGGGTTGAGGACTCTACCGTCAATAAACTTCAATCGTTGGTGCAAGCCGGACAAATTCTGCAAAGGGAAAGCATTCGAAAGTTGTGGTTGGGCAATACCTTTGCAATGTGTATGTTGCAATGTGTGCTTTTCAGGCTTAAATTGGTTTTGAAGCTGTCAGCTTCAAAATGCAACTGTATTACTGCAAATTCAGTGCCTGTTCTCTCTATAGACCTGCCTTGGAGGGCTCTTAGTACCACTACTAAATGTCTACGAAGATCGATAACTTAGGGGAACAACATGCAGGTGAGATATGATAAAATTGGTTTGTGTTCACATGCCGCGTTCAATTTTTGCTGGAAACATCCAGTTTTCCCCAAAACCGTCCAAGTAGGACAAATAGGTAAGAAATTCAAATAGTTCAAAATATATTGTATTTTGGAAGGTCCAGGTATATATTAAATTGGTTGATACAGATTTGGAACCATCAGTTCTGATGGCCACAATCACCAGTGGCAATAAAGGAGTTGTTGGGGACTGAAGCTGGTTATGACAACATCAACCACCTAGAAGGATGAAGACCTGACACCGCTGAGCACTAGCGTATGGGACACCCAGATTTTGATTCGGAAAAGGAGTTTTCCCATTATATAGGATTGGCCATCTTCTTGGCCATCTTCTTGTGCAAGATCTAAAAAAATTTTGGAGATTTAAATTCCCTCTGGTAATTTAACATAGCTATGGAACATCACCATTTTTAATGGGAAATTCCACTATAAATGGCCATTTTCAATAGCTATGTTAGTTTACCAGAGGGTACTCCTCTAAGATCTCATAAGCCCTAGATTTCTGCGATTCAGAAAGGTCCCTTTTCCAGCCATTTCTTCAACATCTTTGTTCCCTTACCCATAGGATCCATGGTGCTGGTATATATGCTAACATTGGGGGTATATTGATGGTAAATGTTACCATATATACCAAACATGGATCCTATGGGTTAAAGCTTGACCCATGGCGTCTTCCGGTCTTCCGGTCTTCCGGTCTTCCGGGGTCTTCCGCTCCAAGCTGCATTGGCCATGCGTCACGTTGGGGCAGCCTGCTTCGCAGCCTTGGGCGTGGAGATAGGGCCAAATCCAAGCAGATAGGGCACGCATGGAGGTGGGGGAAATATGGGGAAATGAACCTTCAGAAAAATGTGGTTTATAATATGTTATAATCCATACTTAAAATCTACAAGTATAGAATTGCAATGCTCCATTATGGATATTGATCTGGTGGATGATGATGATGATGATGATGATGATGATGACGATGACGACGACGACGACACCCTTCTGAGGGATCATCATTTCGGTTCCGTTGCTTCCGTTTGGAGCTGATGTGGTTCGTGCCGAAGAGTGGACCATTTCAAGCTAAGGCATTCCAAGTACACCACAACATCCCCTGATCAATTCACAGAAACTGAAAGGATTGGAACCCACAAATGGATGAAGATCCAGGTAGGCTTCAAATCATCTCGATGGACTTAATGTTCCAGGATGTTCCAGGATACAAATTTCAGGACGTCCAAAGTGTTTTGATCCCGTTTGCGCAAATAGATGGCTATCAAGCGAAATAAACCACGCAACGTGACGTGGGAAATCCTGGGATTGCATCCGTTTTGACCCAGTCGATTTACCAACTATAGTATCCATCCTTTCTAAATGGTATGCATCATTTCTAAATGGTAAAATCCATCCTTTGACCCAGTCAATATCCATTTACCAACTACAGAAAGTCCATATATACCAATCCGATCGTCGAGGGACCGTTCAATGGATCCCCGTCATCATCGAAGAAGTTGGGCGAACACTGCACTTTCGAACAGCCGCCCACAATCAAACAATCCAGGCAGTTGGCATTCAACACCTGCGAATCCATGGCACCGGCGAGAGATTGATATCGAGCGGCTCAGGATTTTCCATGCCGGGTCCCAACAGATACGGATGTTGAGTGCTTAACGCACACCTAAGACCATCACATGCCTCGGATGCATCCAAGAAATGGGGGCTTTGAAGTGGGGGACCCAAAGCAATCCAATTTATTGGTCTTGTTTCATGGGGAAACCAGTGATCCGCGAGTGCACAGACTAGTGCCTTGTTACAATGTAATCATTTCCTGACCTTAAACTACCATGATGTTGGTAAAGCAATAAACAGATCCCCATATTTTGATGCTTTATAATTACCAGCCATTTATGGTAAATTTGTCGATGTTGCATCTTATTGTTCTGCCAACATGAACTGTGGCAGAAATTTAGGGATACCGCCCTGATTCGACAAGAAATCACCATAAGGCAGCTGCACCCTATCCCCACCTCCCCACATTGCATCTCACATCCGTTCATGACATCTCCATCGCGGTTGGCCCAATTGGCATGGCACTTCAACACGGCACAGGTGCCAGGGCCGAAGCATTTCGTGCAGTTGGCCTGCAGGGATGTGCCCAAACGCTGGGAAGTCATAGGTCACGGGGCCGATTGTTGGTCTTATCGGTCTTATCCCAACCCGTCATGCCAGAACTTCCATTGCTGACAACAATCCCATACATCCCATCAAAAAACTAGCTTTACCCATGTATTTCATGGGAAATCTCATGGAGAACTCATGAAAAACCCATGGGTTTCTTCGCTAAGATGTTCCCTTTGACCCTCCCTTTCTCACGCCAAACCTGCGGCAGCTGAGCGCAGCCGGCTTCGCAGCCGTTCAAAGCAGTTCCGTCGGCGTCGAAGCGGTTCTCGAAGCACTGCACGCTTTCGCATTCCCAAGAACTGCTGCAGTCCTTGACGAAAAAAAGCTGATGCATCCAGGTTTTCTTTGGAGAATGTGTACATGTGTTTTTTGCCCCGTATATAATCATGTATAGTAATTCTATGTATTATGTGTATATATATATAGAGTTCCATTACATAATATTATAATCTCTGTATATATGTGAATGTATAGATCCCCATATGGCCCATACTAACAAAACAAGATTGGGAACAAATCGAGTTTATGTTTATTTGATACCAAACAATTTTACCTACCATACTAGTGAAAAAACAATTTTATGTGTAACGGAAGGCCAAGTGTGCAATCCTTTAAGAAAACCGTTAAGAAAACCTTCACGTCGGGCCTCAAAACTAAAGCACATACGTGCCATGGTCAAAACATGGTCTTCCATCCCAGAATGGGAATCCTTCCGGTATAGCATGGTATAGCCCAAAAGAAAATGGATTGATGACCATTCCCCAACTTTTGACCGATGGGATCATGGGAGTGTTTTATGACCCTGCAGGTGTGTTTTAGAGGTGTCCCAGAATCATCAAAGTCCCCAGATTTTCACCAGATGACACCTGCCTTGCAGCCCCCAAAATTGGCAGTGCCACAAAATGCCACAAGACCCGACAAGATCCCAACGACAAATGGATCCACATTTCGAGGTTTCCTGAAATGGGGGTACCCTTAGTCATCATCCATTTATAGATGGATTTTCCATGAAATAAACCATCCATCTAGTGGGTAGCTCCATTTATGGAAACCTGCACATGTCTACAATACCCTCTGGTAATTAAATCATAGCTATTGAAAATTGCTGTTTTCATCGTTTCTGGCTTACCCATTAAAAATGGTGATTTGCGATAGCAAACTGTGAGTTTACCGGAGGTTTTTGTCTTACCACCACCTTGATGGCCCAGGGACCTTGCAATCACCTCCCGGCACCTCGGGACAACCCGCTTCGCAGCCGTTGCGTGGATCCTGGTCGTCGTTGAAGTAGTTCTCCTGGACGAGCACCAGGTGGATCCAGGTGCCAGTTTCCAGTTTCTGGAAGCTCAGTTGGTAAAGAGTTGGATGAACTGTTGGATCTATGATAATGAAATAAACGCATGGAGTAACCAACTAACTCACATTTTTCTAGGGATCAGCACCTTATAAGTTGGGATATGGATGTCAAGTTACCCTGTTTTGCTGTAGTCCACCCCAAAATAGCTGGCCTTTGTGGATCTTCATCTTCCCCAAAGATCTTTTGTTTCTTCAAAGGATTGGTTTAAGGGAAAATGTGACGGGAACGCCTCATTCAATGGATTGGTTTAAGGGAAAAATTACAGGAAAACCCCATATTTAATGGGAAAATCTATGGTTTCCTGTAGATTTTCCCTTAAACCAATCCATTGACTCATATTTCATGGGAAAATCGATACGTATAGTTTCCGGTTTTCAGATTTTCCCGACTAGAAACCAGTCCATGGATTTTGAGGGTTTGACCCATTCCCCTATTTTTTTCTACAGTTGGGATGTGGAAAGGCCCAAAATTCCCAAAAAAAAATGACCCCAAGTGGTTATGACTAACAGGGCTAGCCATGGTATAGATGGCCCTAATCGAAATAGATGGTTTACCGAACTTAATAGCATGGTGGATCTTTCCATGGCAAACTGTTAGTCATAACCAGAGGGTATATATCTCAATCAATGGAGGACAAGGCCCTTCATCAACTGGTCACTTGTCGGGTCTGATATCACTAGGTGTTACTAGGAGGATGGGATTTAGTTCTCTTTGATGGTGGACTGTTGGAATACTTTCTGGTTGGTGGTGCAATGTGCCCATCTTGAAAAATATTAGATATGAAAGTCAATGGGAAGGATGACATCAGACATCCCATATATGAAATGGAAAATAAAATTCATGTTTGAAACCACCAACCAGTTTTTTAATTGTACAAAATTAAGGCCTTGGAAGTCGTGAACCTTCGCTGACTTACCAGTCGTTTTCTCCCTTCACAAAGGCGCTTGAAGCACTGGTTCACTTTTTGGATAATCTGGGAAACCTTTACTGGTTGAGAGTGCCGCAAATGAACCAGTTCGTATTTTCGGAATTCCACCGCTTCTTTCCAGGGTCCACCCATGATTTGATGGTAGATTTCCATGAAATGGTGTGAATCATGATATGCTTTGTTCAAATCATGGTTTATTCAATTCATGCTGTTGAATATCAATGTTTAATAACAGTCGTGATTGGAATATTTTTTGTCACTGTCACAAACAGCGTTGATGGTTGAATTCATGGTCCAAGCATAGAATCACCACGTTTCCCCGTTTCTCCTCACAGGAAGTGATCTTGGTACAGGTCGTAGCACTGCTACAGTCGAGACACAGGGCACGCTGCACCTATCAGGTGGCCATGCTGAAGTTGGAGTGGTTGCGTCCATAAAATCCACCGAAAAACATGGTTTATGTCTGTGTATGTATATATATATATACAGTATATATAAATATGAAAAAATATAGAAGTTTCTTGTAAATTGTCCCAATGCAAGTCTGGGAATGGTAGAAAGTTCTGACTCCCCAGACTTTTTTCGTAGAAATCTGCGGAGACTTCGGACTGATTGTGGTGGAAGCCCCACTGGCCATCAGCCTTGGGAACATCCATCATCATCACCATGGATACTCTATCGATCGAATCAAATAATATATATATCTCTTGAGATCTCTTGATAATATATATAGATGTAGAATGTGAAGCTTGGCTTAATGTCAAGATGCTTCATGCTACCCCAAACATTCAGCCAGTCGGGCTTCTATAAAAGGCACCTCAGGACATCCCGCTTCGCAGCCATTGCTGGGAAGCTCGTCGGCATCAAAACGATTGGCATGACCTGGTGCTGGTCGAAACTGCGAAGCTCAGAAGCTCCCCCAAATCCACACATAGCGCAAGGAAAACTGGGGAGCCCGCGATTTATCCGATTTTTTCCACCATCAACTGGGGATGGTTAAAACACGTTAAAACCCTATGAATAATGGGATGTTGAGCATTGTTTTCAACTGGTGCAGGATTTCGCTGGCCCATCCACAGTATGTCTTACGAGTGGACAATAGGAATTTTTATATCTTTGGGAGAATTTCATCAAGAACCGTGAGATTTGGGACTGCACCATTCTTGGACAAACTCCAAATCTCGGGGTTGTCTGAACATGGGGTACATGTACACCAAACATCCAGCGACTAATGGTTCCTTCTCCCCGTTAAGATTGCCACTACATCTGGCTGGTGGTTTTAACCATGTTAAAAAATATGAGTTCGTCAATGGGAAGGATGACATCCCATATATGAAATGGAAAATAAAATTCATGTTCCAAACCACCAACCATATATATATAACCCATGAAGCGACCAGCAGGGTCCTTCGTCAAATTCAAATGCATCTGGTGAAATCCCCATTTTCCTTGATCAGTTTTTGATGAAATCACCATGTTTCTCCACTGAACCGCTACCACAAATAGCTTAGCCTACAAACCACAAAAGAAAACGGCAACATCCAACAGGAAACATCAAAACAACAAATTATTTTCCAAGAAAAACGAGTTCTAGAAGGTTAGTACATACATGCCCATTTACAGCAAAAATGTTCAAGATTCTTCAAGTACTCAACTAACCTTCACCAGTTCGTTTAACGAAGTTCGTTTACCCTTTTTTTTGTGGTAAGCCCACATGTGTTCTTGCCATGTGTCTGATTCAATCATATTCTTCGCAGTAAATTTTGGATAGTACAAGGTGGGCCCCTCTAACAGAACTTGATTCACTGTTTGGTTTATCGATATTTTGTGCTAGATAGATGATTTTGAAGATGGGTTGATCAACCACCACTTTTCCGTTGATGCCAACAAAACATCATGATTATCATGTAAAACATGGTAAAACCACCATGTTTCTCCATTTTTACCATTTTGGATTGTTTTTTGTCCAGGACCACTTTTTCCACGGTTTTTTCTAAGGTCCCGGGCAGCTAACGCTGCTACACTGCTCCGGGCTGCTGCAGGTTGTGCAACGGCCGTGGTCCACGACGGGGCAGGTGGCTTCGCAGCCTGTCCTGGTCCATGTTTTTCCATGATATTCCAGGGGAGGTTCTATGGGGTATGAACAATCTGATTGGTGGTTTTAACCATCTTGAAAAATATGAGTTCGTCAGTTGGGATGATTTTTCCCAATATATGGAAAAATAAAAAATGTTCCAAACCACCAACCAGGAATAATAATAAGATGAGACGTTCTATGGTAAATAATATGATAGAACATGATGAAATATATTGTTCTATGGTGATATTCCATCTATCTATGTTTGATGAACAATGGGACAGGAACAATAAGATGATTGCGAATGATGGGATATGATGGAATATACAATAATGTGATGGTTAATATGATGGTTAATGATGGTTTTTGTCCATGGTTAATCATGGAACAAACAATAATAATATGGGAATGTTCTATGGTGATCTTATTCCAAGATATGATATGTTATTAATGTGGGTAAAACAATGCTATAAACCACCCCCATTCCACCTATAAAATTGGTGATTTGGGGGATGGTCTATTATTGGTTTACCGACATTGTGACATTATTCTATGGGGATATTCTCACGCATCAGATGTTGGGATCTGTTTGTTACCAAACATTCCATGGGGATGGGATATTTAGGGCTAAATCGGGAGGTATAATCAACAAAATGGTGGTATGTCATGGGAATACAATGGGGAAACCAACCATGATTTATGGGGATGTCATTTTCGGATTACATGTGATCAGCGATATTGGTGGTTCTCTGGCAATTTCAAGAGAGAATGTGATGCTTTAATCATGATTCATTTTGGATGTGTTTAGCCAGAAGATAAGCACCAAACATGCGTGAGAGGGGGCTTGACACCCCAGGCATTCCACATGAAACCAACACATTTGATAATTATACCAAATGTTGCTGGTTACCTAGACGTCTTCACTGGTTGTTTCATCATTTCTTTGTGTCCAAACAAAAAAACACAATCGCATGGTCACAAATGAGTTGCAGGGTCAAGTTTCAAGACTATGTGCCGCACATGGCAAAGTTACCTTCAGATCTACAGACCTTTGATGATTTTTGTAGGTATGTAACGTAGATCATCATAGACATAGATTACCCTCTGGTAATTTGTTACATAGCTATTGAAAATGGCCATTTATAGTGGATTTACCCATTGAAACTGGTGATTCTCCACAGTTTTGTTAGTTTACCAGAGGGTATTCTATAAGATGATCTCAGTTCTACATCTATCTGAGATTTCATGAGGATAGCTGCGAGGAGTATGTACCTTTCAATGGTCAGTTTGTGCCATTAATCCACCACAGCTCAGTTGCGGGAACCCCCAGCTTTGGTGAAATCACATTTTTTGCATTGGTATGTCAGGGTATGTTTTGAAAATATGGTGTCCCTAAATATGGGTATGTTATCCATCACCAGAAATCATTGTCCTTATCCAAATGGACTAATAATAGACTATTAATACATACATATGCCGTATGCTATATCCCATGTTCAAACACATACCCTCTGGTAAACTGCTCCATAACTATGGAAAATAACAATTTTCCATAGGGAAATCAACTAGTTCTATGGCCATTTTCCAGTTCGCTATGTAACAGTCATTACCAGAGGCTACATCCCCAATTTCTTTCGTCAAGGTGCTGGATTTGGCCATCCACATCGAACCAGTTGGGGTCGCACTGCATCTCGAAGCATTCCTCGGTTCGCGCCGGAGGGAGCCGCTGGGAAATGCCTGTCATAAATGGAGGTCATTTAACATAGCCATGGAAAATGGCCCATTTATAGATGGTTCACCTATTAAAAATGGTGATTTTCCATGGCTATGCGGCTATGCTAAATAACCAGATGGTAAATGGAGGTCCAATCGCATGGGAAATGCCCAATTTTCCAATGGAAAGTGTGTCCAGGGTTGATGACTCCATGGTTGTATGGTTGATGAGTTGATGACCGGAGGGTGCTTGTGACCAACTGAGCCAAAATTGGATCACCGACGCTAAACCTAACGCCCAGAGTCCAGTGGTTTCCCACTGCAAGCTGTGCAATTGCCATGGCTCACGCTGGGGCACAACCTAAGTCCAACCAGCTGTGCCATGGTAGTCACCCCAGGTGAGAGCCGGTCTTGGGATCAAGGGAAGAGTTCTCCAGTGAAATGGGGCTGACGTTTTGCATAAATTTTGGGTGCTACCCTCTGATTATGACTAACAGTTCGCCATGGTATAGATGGCCCATAGAAATAGATGGTTCACCTATTAAAAATGGTGATTTTCCATGGCTATGTTAGTCATAACCAGATGGTACCCCCAACGAGACACACTCCCAAACACTCCCAACTGGTAGCGATGTTGGCCATGCCACACTTCACATCCATTCTCATGCACACCGTCTGCGTCGTACCAGTCCTATTGCGGGGAGATCGTCTAACCCTCTCATGCCTCAAATCATGATGCCTTTAAAAGGGAAAACTACGTGGAAAACTGCAAACTGTTGTTCTGTTTGGGTAACTTGACGAACCATTCAATGTCAAGCCGAATCCTGTTGATAGGCTTTGGATCAAGCATTACAGCCCACGGATGTCACAAACGCTGGTCAGTGCGCGGCACTGGTATCAGACTTTTCACTGCTTGGAAGTTATAATTATGTGTATATATATATGATTCAGGAAGGTTCAACACCAGGACCATGCAACGACCATGTTTCAACATGACCTGCTGCATACCAACGCTAAACTGCTAAGCTCGAAGGGAGGCTGGTTTGATGTTATTTGCACCTTTTTTGGACACAATGGAACCCCCCAGCTTTTGTGAACGTCATCCCTCAAACGCACATGCACTTGAACATTGAGTTTCCGCCTGTCTCAAAGTGAGAAAATCGTGGTGCTGTGCAACTTTATCCCATGTTTTCCTATGTTTTCCTATGGTTTCCCATGTTTTCCTATGTTTTCCCAATGATTCTACTGGCTTCTCAGTGACCCGCCCCGTGACCCCACGGCACCTTGTCGCAGGTCAAGGCCACGGCACAGGTGCTTGGGCTGTGGCACTCCGAGCAATGGCCGTTGGGAAAGGTGGTACATTCCGTTTCGCAGCCGTTGGTGTAGTTCCCATCCACTTCGAAGAAGTTGGGATGACACTTATAGTCCTGGAGAAGGGCCGAAGCAGACCGGGGGCCTGGATGATCCCTATCCAACTGACATGGCAAATGTCACGAAATTTTAGGATAAAAAATTACACAAGGGTTCTTACCCTCGGCTCTGCCAAGGGTGTCTTGATGATGGAAGTCAGAAAAAGGGCCCATCTTTCTTTTCAGGACTTGAGGGGCGTTGAAGGACAAATCATTACACCCATTGGTTTCTTGAACATGGACACCCCCGGAGAAACAAAAACACGCGAAACCCAGCTGACCCCAAGTTGTCAGCATCTATGCTCTTTTTGGGGGGGCGCAAGCAGACAGTGGGTGTAGGCAACCCCCAATTTCTGGGAAAGTTTGCAGCTTTCTGGGATTCCAACCTTCCCTTGCAAACTGCTTGCTACGTCCTCTAGTGGGGTTACGGTATCTGTTAACGTATCCCCACAAAACCGGATTGTCATCAGGCAACCAGGCAGCCATTCTTGAACTTCCCGCTTTCCATTCGTTGGAGTACCCAGATTTCAGGAGCTATCAACCAATCATACCATAAAAGGATCCAAGTGCCTGAGGAAGTATGACTATATAGGGTCTAATTTGAACTATCAAAATTGAAGTCCCCCAAGTTTCGTTGACTTACCCTCTGGTAATTTGACATAACTATGGAAAATCACCATTTTTAATGGGAAAATCAACTATAAATGGCCATTTTCAATAGCTATTTTGACATAACCAGAGGGTATCCTCTTTTCTCCCGCTCCGCTGCTCCTTGCACACGTAGGGCCCCTGACACAGCAAGCACTCGGCATTGGGCACCACAGGACATGGGGCCTCGCAGCCGTTCTGCACGTTCCAATCGGCGTCAAAGAAGCCCGACTGACAATCGAAGACGGTGCAGAGATCTGCGTCGCGCGGCGTGCTTAGTGAGGGGGTCATAGAATCATAGAGTACTTCTTGTGGTGATTATTGTCATTATGTTCATTATCATTTTAACATCAATGATGAATCAATATCATTATCTAATATTGATATGATGATCAGCAAAATTATAGTAACGGTACTAATTAACAATAATGATAAAAATTTTTCATGGTCATAGATGAAAAAAACATATGATCATGTGTATGCATATATATATATCCCTAAAAGTCCTAAGGCCGTACTTTCTGAGTCCTTGCCGAAAGTGGCACAAAAAAGGATCATCGCGGAGAAACCATAGCAATGCCGAGGTTCTACGGCCGAGGGTTTATAGCAATGTTCACTCACGATTCACTCGCGATTTCTCACGATTTTAGAGCTGTTATATGTACCTTTTAGGTCCTTTTACGTAACTTTTAGGGCCTTAGGGACGTACATTTTGAGGTCCTACTGACGAAAACTCACGATTTCTCATGATTAAGGATATTAATTATATAGCAACGTTCCTTTTTAGCCCTAAGACCTCGACATCAACAGGATGTTTATAGCAACGTTCCTTTTTAGCCCTAAGACCTCAAAAGGTACATAACAAACAAAATACATGGACGTACTTGTTTGACCCACTTTCTACAGATGTTCATAAGGACGTGACGTTCTTTTTGAGGTCCTGGACTTCCAGGGATATATAAATATACCAATAGACACGACATGTGCGCAAAACTCTTCAGGCATTTTTCCTCAGCCCAGTTGCCCTGCTCACACTTCTTGCACACTGCATTGTTCACACCCGGACAAAGAACTTCACAGCCATTGCTTTCGTTTCCTGGGCGGCGCAGGAAACCACCACCATCTTGGTCAGAAACTGCACAAGTTCGATAGAAATTGGATTGGCGAATCCATCAAATTACATGGTTAGATGGAAATCCTCAATGGATGAATGATTTTACAGATTGATACAAATTGCATGATTATCATGATTCTTCTTACAGATTCAGAGGGGTTGACAACTTTCTTCTTTCTTCTATGGTTCTTGTTTTCGTCAGCATGTGCAATGTTTTCAGGGTAGACAAACATCTGGAAACGTTCCCTTGAGGGAACCCCGAGCTGGCGAATCACGGACCATGAATGTGGCTCAGGATTTGGGGAATCGATGATCCTCACCGTCATTGAACAGAAAAGCGTTCATGTCCAAAAGAATTAAAGAATGGACTATCTGTCATCTAACTGTCATTTAACTGTTTATTGTCACATGATAAACCAATCAACAAATTAACAGATCAAGTTTACAGTTGATTTCAAAAGAATGGCTTTTGTGAAAAGGTGACTGGTGGATGTCATCGGCATATTTAAAGGATGCTTCTCGAAAGGTCATCCCTTTTTAGCACCCTACTGCTTTGTTGGGATTCCCCTTCATATTCCTCAGATAAACCAGGTTCCAAGAACCCCCACCTTCCCAATCCACCAGGATATATATGTAAACATTAAATATCAAAGTCATTATATAATGTTTAAATAACATCTATTTTTAATGATATTTATAATTAGTAACGTTAATATCAACCATGTATTGGTAATAATTAAATATATTTAAATATATTTAAATATCAACCATGAACATCCCCATCGTGTCCCAAGGCTCCGTCGGCGTCGTAGAAGTTGTCGGCACAGATCATCCGTGAGCAATTACTGGGATTGGGGCATTCCAGACCTTGACCCAGATGGCGAAAAACTGGGGAGAATTTGAGGATTGTTTTAAGGGAGGGTGAAAAAACATCAGAATGTGACGTGGAAAATCAACTGAAATTTGAGGACTTTGGCTCAGCCACATCTTCAACTACTAAGAAAAAAGGTGAATTTACCCTCCGGTAAACTAACATGGCTGTTGAAAATGGCCATAGAAATAGTGGATTTACCCATTAATAGCATGGTGTTTTTCTATACTTATGGAGCAGTTTACCAGAGGGTAAATCCCATTAAATCCCATTAAATCCCATTAAATCCCATAAAATCCCATTAAATCCCATTAAATCCCATTAAATCCCATTAAATCCCATTAAACCACCATAAATTTCCATGAAATTCCAAGAAAAAGGTGAATTTAACCAACACAAAAAGTGGCGTTTAAGCAACATATGACCGTTGTGTTGCCATGGCAGCTGGGTCACAATTGGCTCCGGGCACCTTGGGGCAGCCCACCTGCCATGGCTGAGTTGAGTTTCCTGTTTAATATATGGTTAATAACAATGGTTAATATATGGTTAATAAGTGTTGAGCTCTCTTTGATGGTGGACTGTTGGATATATGGTTGATATATGATTAATATATGGTTAATAATAATACTGGTTGATGGTGCAATGTGCCCATCTTGAAAAATATTGGAGTTGGGTTCGTCAATGGGAAGGATGACGTCCCATATATGACATGGAAAATAAAATTCATGTTTGAAACCACCAACCAGAATAGCTTGAGAAACTTCAGGAAACTTGAAGCCATCAGAGGTTTCACCGAAGTGGCTACTTCATGAGGGTTGCAGAAGTTAAACATGGATGTGTCAGCCGGCGAAATGACCAATTACTGCCTTGCCGCAGATATCTACCAACAGCAACTGGGAGTTCAACGGACAGAATTTTGACATTTAGACTTTAGTAATGTAATATCAAGATATATCAAGATGGAGAGCTTTCCGAAAAACTCGGCCATCAAAATCACATCAAAATCACATGGCATTTCTCAACCATCTGTGACCCCAATTCTTCCACTTAAAAACACAGACTTTTGGACTTCACCGGATTTATCAGCAACTGCCCAAACATCCTATGCCCAAACTCCATGCAGATCTGCATCAAGATTTTGGGACCTGAACATGTGGACCTGAACAGCATGGGTTAAGATCATCCAATACCCAAACTCCTGAGGGATGTCTACTCCAGAATGCCACTGATTAAAATTTGCCATATTCTACTGAATATGGCACATAGTCCTAAAAAGTATTGATTGTTTGCGATATATCCCAAAAACCAGTCATAATCGTTGCGGAATCTTATGATTGATTTTGCTGTTTACAATCGCAGGGTGGATGAATAGAACAGTGATGATATCATATCCATCCATACAATGTAGGGACCCCACAGTTATATATTTTGAGATAAATTGCTCACCCATCTAATTTTGTCAATATGTCTATGGCACCATAAGCTTAAGCTTAAACATCTTAAACCATAACCATAGTTTACAGGTTTCCAGCTTACAGTACCCCCAAATCCAGTCGTCATGGATGACTGGTGACCACTGGGGATCCCCCAGTCGACCCACCTCGCAACCGTTGGCCGCATCGCCGTCCAGGTTGAAACTGTTGGGAGGGCAGTCGATCTCGCGGCTGGCGTTCACTCCTGGATGGGTCATCGGGGAATCCGCACCGAAGGGGCCCTGAAATCCCAAAAGTAAGGGGAGGAAACCATGATTTTTTGACCATGACATATTGGGAATTCCGGCATGAAGTGGGTGTCTCACCATTTAAGAGCTTCCGATGATATTTTGGATATTTTTTTGGGGGAAACGATGGTTTGTTCCAGACCCAAGTGATGGCAAGTTCTCTGCATTCAAATTCGCTCCGCCAAAAGAAACAACTACGACCTGAGTTGGAGAAAGCTGAACCCCGGTTCATTCTTCTGGCTTTCTCATCCGATCCCCAGATTGCATCACAAACTACCCTCTGGTTATGTCATAACAGTTTGCTATTGAAAATGGTGATTTATAGTGGATTTACCAATTGATAGCATGGTGATTTTCCATAGTTATGTAAACGTTTACCAGAGGGTAGATCCACCATGCTGCTACAATTTTGTATGTTCCCAATGATTTGCAGACGTGCAGACGCCTACAGTTGTAGGCGTCTCGATACTCATGGAACATTTCTCGCAACAAAGTTGACACCTCCAACGTGCGGCGCCGGAAACCCAGGAAACCCAGGGGTTGGGTGTCAACATCAACGAATCGACGTTCGTACAAGCAAGGAATCAATGAATTGGTTGGAAACTTGACGGGAAACCATGTTTTTACCCCAAATTAAAGACTTCCTGTGAATTTTACCTTCAACCAATTCTGTGAACGATAGATATGCATGTGCACGTATAAATGTCTTAGCAGATATGCATATGCATATGTATACGTGCTTAGATAGATCTGAAGGTACGTGTATGCATGCATGTACATGGCGCACATGTGTTGTGCGGATAAGATCAGTTCAAAAAGGGATATGATAATCAACCACCATGGACATTGTATATGTACAGAATGTACAATACTCTACATACAGTGCTGATCACATACAACCAATGCAGTAGCAACTCCAAGTTGTTATAAACTGCACCCATGACCTAAGTGGACGTGAGGGCATGATAATTTTGAGAAACCACTGAAATCGACTTCCCGGCGCTCCTAAAAACATCCTTAGATGGTGCCAGAACTAGCCATTCGTCCCAACACATCCCACTTATGTTTGGAGTTATCACCCACTTGGCCAATTCTTGCAACATCTAGGTAGTCTCATGGGAATGGATCAATACCTATGAAAATACCATTTTTAGTGGGTTATTCACATCCATAAATCCCAGCTATTTTGATGTGAACTACAGGGGTACTATTGGTTTTGACACACTGCCTCATCATTGGCAAGTGGAAAACCCCGACTGTTAACCGCCCTCCAGTGACCTGTCCCGGAGCAAGGAGATCGCATCGCTCGACATGCATTTCCTGCCGAAGTCGCAGCAAACTAATGCCGCAAACACCTGCAAAAACAAATCCCATGAGGCCTCGATTTCAGGACCTCACATGGTACAATTTTATACAACTTTGAATTGTTGTAGGTCTTTTGGAATTTGAATGATCCAACTGACTGTCTGGTGTTATAAAAAAAGGGAGGATACCACATGATACCACCATTTCTTAGACCGTGTTTCCCCGGGAATATGTTTTTTTTTCAACCATAAGATTTTGGATGCTCCCGAATTGTTCAACATGGCTTTGTGCGAACATAGAATACCCCTAAATTCATTGGTATACCATGGTATACCCGCATTTGCAAACACACTTACATTGGACCTACCCTCTGGTAATTTAACGTAGCTATTGAAAATGACCATTAATAGTGGATTTTCCCATTAAAAATGGTGATTTTCAACAGCTATGTTAAATTACTAGAGGGTACCTGTTTTAAACCATCATTTGGCATTTGGCAACACTGAGGTCGGCACTGACAAAACTCCGTGGTCGACCCGCGTTGCTCTGCAATTGCATAACTCTCAGCACAGTCTTCGCTGTCGTACCTCTGGCCAATCCACCCAGTGCCAGTACACCCCAGTGGCAGGAATTTCTCGTTCCAGTGGCGACCCCAGTTCTCCCTGTGCAGGATGTTGCAGAGTCCAACCGCATCCATTTCAGATGTACTACCCTCTGGTAATTGAACACTTTGCGACATGGACATTCAAACCATGTTTAAAAATGGTCAATCATCGATTTCAGTGGAGCAATTAAGTTCCATGTGTAAAATCCACAGGTTTTAACCGGTGGGTTTTTCCCAGCAGATGCCTAAAGCCAAACTGTGGCGGTTCACGTGCCGCAGGACATCAGCACGGGTTTGATGTAACAGGTCGCGTCCGTCTTCCCCGAGCCACGGGCCGCCTCAGGTTCGGTTTCACAAGCGCTGGGACATTTTTCTGCGGTATGGGAGAAGGAAAATATGCAAAAGTGGTTGTTGAGTACATGAATGAATATGTGTATGTATATATGTGTGTGCAATGATACATGTATATGCGTTGAATACATTCTTACAGAATCTCGCAAACATATTTACATAGAGGGAGAGAGAGACAGAGATTTGATATGATTTGATATGTCTAGATCTCCAAGAATGGGTCTAACCAACAAGAATTGGTGATGAACTATATGATAAACTCATATAAACTCTTATTTCACATGATCACTATGTAACTTTTCCGAGTTTTCAAAAAAAACTGGGAAGTTCAATCCGCGAATTGACGGATTCAAAGGTGATCAGGCACCGTCAAGAAATCATCAAATCTTAAGTGTGCTTTGCCACAATCCAGCGAGATTCATTTAAATGTATTTAATGAAGACTCAAAGTCCACACCCCGATTTAGGTCTGAAAATCTAGTAATTACTATAAAATATTATAAGTCCCCCTAAATTCCCTGGTTTTGCATCATCATGGTTTAAACAAACACATTTTCCCCAGTCACAATGGTCCTGTTATTCCTGGCTATCCGATAGGACCTATCGACTCGGCCAGCTCGCCCCTTCCCAAGTCCAAGGTACGTAGATGGAGGTGTGGAGGTAACAAATACCGACGCTTCCCTCCATCCTTTGGACGGTTTCCATTGCCAGGGTGGATTACGGGAAGGCGAGCAGCATCTAGCAGCCCTTTCAATGGTTACAACAAGTCTAGACATTAAAGGATTGGGGAAATCAGCAACAATGTTTGGGCGCTGTCATGTTGTGTTTGTACTCAATGCAGCATCAAAAAATACTTCCTTCAGGAACCCAATAGTTGGTTTTCCCCCCCAATCAAACATGATTTATCCACATTTATCAACTATATCACCATTCTATCCCCAAAGAAGAGCCATAAAAAAATACCCACATCTCATCCCATTCTACCGGCTTAGTGAACATCATCCGAGTTATATGCCCGCTTTCGAAACTGCCAACCAATAAACCAGCAATCAACCAGCATTTATCAATTATATCATGACATCCCCAGAATATCCCTATAAATTTCCATGGTTCCTGTTGAAATTTCACATTTTTATACATTTTTGGCATTTTTTGGCGATGTTTCACTGGCTCAAACATCGGCCCAAGACGCTGATACGCGGTACAGCTCAACTGACTTCGGCAGCTCTCATGGCATTCCTTCAGTGACAAGTTGCCCAGGCTAAAGCCTCAGATGAGCCGCCCCTCTGAACACGTTGACTGTTGGATCTGTTGGTGTTTCTTGGGGGGGCGAACTGTTGGGCTTAAGGTGATGATAAACCTTATAAATTATAACATGTTATAACTATAGTTGGGGTCATAACACTTATATATAACATCTGGTTGGTGTTTTTTTGCCACCCCTCTGAAAAATCATGGAGTTCGTCAGTTGGGATGATGACATTCCCAATATATATGGAAAAAAATCATGTTCCAGTCACCACCAACCAGACATGGTATAACTCAATAACCTACTTGTGTTTCTGAAAGGAGAACAGAGATGAACAGAGCAGTTTCCGCGGCCGTCGAGTCTCCAAGGAGTGCGGCCGTCCCCTCTAACAATCCACCGAAAAAAAACAGCATAGCAATGGAAAATCCACGAAAGTTCTGTGAAAAAATATCGTAATTTCATGTTTCTATTCGACACATGACATGTCTAATTTAAGTTGCTAGTATCAAAAATCTAGTCCCAGAGGACCGCAGGGGCTTACGACCCCATGGGTGTGTCCGCAAACACCTCCCAAATTTTGCCAAAAATGACGGGCAAATGATGATCAATATTGATGAAATCACATTCACCTTTCATTGGATTGGTTCGGGAAAATCTTCACCGGAAACCATGGTTGGTTTTTACCATTCAAGATGGGGGTTTCCGGTTCCAATTTTCCCGACTCAACCAACCCAGTGAACCGGACTCCCCGCCTGAGGTGATTTCGCTGCCGTCGGCAAAGACGCAGAGGCCCAAGGCCTTCTTCCAGGCGTAGGCTTCCTGCGGCGTTGCAGAAGTTCTCAGTCTGGGAGATATTACCCTCCGGTAATTTAACATATAGCTATTGAAAATGACCATTTATAGTTGATTTACCCATTAAAAATGGTTATTTTCCATAGTTATGTTAATTTACCAGAGGGTACATAAAGGCCAGTGGGAGAATGATGACAATGATGCTACTATCATGGTTGGATTGTTTTTTTGATGGTACTATAATGAGAATAATGATGGTACGAGATTATCATGATAATCATGGGATTCTTTAAGACTGTCATGGGAACGATGGATTTCACCAATTTTGGAGGTGTCCTGCAGTCCCTTCAACCAATCCTATTATACCAGGACTATTTGTTGGTTATGTAAAATTATACATGGGTTTGTCTGGCAATAGTGTACCCCTAAGACCCAATGGATTATCATGATGATTGATGATTATTCTCCCGTGACTTAACGGCTACTTGGGGGGGGCATCCCCTATTTTTCAGACACCTCCAGTTGGTAAAATGTAACCAGTTTTTGATCCTGATATGTATCCTGGCATAACCATACTACAACGTAAATCAATATCCCAGTTTAACCATAATGTCTATCCCAACTGAAGCATGCGTATTCACATATATGCACAATATTGCGATACATGTCGGGATAGATGTGGACAAGCATAATATCCCAATCCATACCCCTTCTATCCTCATTCATGTGGTAAAGCCCAATTGAAGACCGTCCCCCACATTACTATAGATTTTTCCAGTATAAACATGTATAAACCAGTCTGGTTGGTGGTTTTTCGCCACCCCTCTGAAAAATGATGGAGTTCGTCAGTTGGAATGATTCTTCCCAAACTTATGGAAAGTCATAAAAATCCATGGTTCCAGTCACCACCAACCAGTGATTATTAACCACTATTAACCATGATTAACCATCATTATCCCATTAAAAAGTCATGTTCCAAAAACCACCAACCAGCAGTTCTTGGGCTACCGTCACGACTTCGGAACCGCACCTCGCTCCGTGCCGCTGAAGGCTGTGCTGCATCCAAGGCGGCGGTAGATTCACCCCGCAGCAGATCAGAGCGGGCACCTGCCCCGTTCAACCCACGGCGCCCAGGGGTTTTCCCCAAGAAATCGGGGGAATTCACCACGGAAATCGAGAATTTCTTGGGTCTTCAATGTCTTCTTTCAAGAAGTTCTCGGTGGATCCGTGGATTCCACAGTTCACCTGTAGCAGATGAAAGTGGAACCATCCAGAACCCAGAAAATCATCAAAGGGATCATACAGGATTAAAGTACCCATGACCCAGCAGACCAACATGTCTGGTCGAATATAGTGAAATACGATGTGAACAAAGCTGGGAGTCAACCATCAACTCACCAAAAACAGGTTCCTGAACCTGCCTCCCGTCTTTTGGAGCCTTGAGAAAACATGGGTTTGGAGCCTGAAAATAGGGTACCACCGCAAGACCCAGTGGTTGTTTCAAACCTCATGCTCTCATGCTCGTATTGGGAGTAAATTGCCCCTTTTTCAGACGACAATCCAGCTGGCCATCGTCCAAGTGACAGGAGATCCATTCGTTGGGTCGACTGAGAAAGGCTTTGAAGTTCTCCATGCTGTTGGAGAAGGTGTTGCAACTCGACTCCTCGGCTAAGGCGGCTAAGGCGGCTATGGGGATGACAGCATCACAACATACCAGAAGCATCTTCTCCTTTAGGCATCGATTTTAAAGTCACGGCCACATAACAATCTTTGCTTGGCCTTGAATACGTATATATATATATGTATATATATATATAGAGAGAGAGAGAAAAATGATTTAACACTTATATTCACTTCCTGTAGCCGGGTCCAGCAATAGTCTATCATGGCCATTCCTTGCAAAGTGCCAGAATGTCGTTGGCAAGCCCCTTTGAATGGTATTGTGGATTACGTGATAGCCCAGCTTGGTCATTAGTGACAGAATGAACCCTGATCAAAATGAAAGCTGTTCCAATCAAATGTTGGACTTGCTTCAGGGTCCAAGAAATTACAACAAAACAATCTCTAGATATCTCAAAATTATCTCAAATCAACTAGTTTAGATTCCTAAAATACCGGATTGGACAATAGATGAATAACCAGCCCTGCAGACTCAGCGAATGCAAGAAGTGGGAAGCAAGAAACACTTCGTAGCCAGGTGACTGTCTGAAAACAGGGATTTACCCACAAGCTATGGCCTTGTTGGTTCAAAAGAATTAGCTTTCAAGCAACTGGATTTTGGGGATAGCCCATGTTCAGTCAGCAACCCATATACTGGGCACTACAAGTACATTCACCCTGGAAAAAAGATGAAAAAAGCACAGGTGCATTTAGAAGTCGAAACTCAGCAACTCTGAAAAGTCCCATCGGTTCATCGGTTTCATCGGTTCATCCAAGAAGCCGAATGAGAAAACTCGAAACTACTGCACTTGACCACTTCTTGGCACTTCTGCGCACAGCCTCTGCAGCAAGCAAATGGGCCAAATCAGTCGGCCTTCTTCAGTGGCCCCAGAAAAGGCAGGGGCCAATCCCATTCACCATGATAAGGGATTTCCCATGGGGATTTCCATTCACAACCCAAGTTCTCCAAGTTTATTGGTTCCTGGTAGCTACCTAGCTACCCTAACCTGCAGTACAGCTGGATGTTGATTTCCCCAGTCATTTCATGTAATTTCATCCCATCATCCTCACCCAAAGAGTTGGTCATTTTCTCCCATCAGCACCTCCTAAGGTGTCGGTGTCGAAATGCATCTGATCCGGACCATCCAAGTCATAGGGCACCAGCGAAAAACCTGACACAGTTGAGTTGGATCGTCATCCGTCTTTTCCAGGGGTTGGTAACTGTCCCATTTTGGGAATACTGGACATCACCTTATAGTAGCCATTATAGACCATTATACCTAATGGTTGGGTGATGTGACCCATGGGGACATCAGTCATGACCCATGTTTTCTGAGTGAAATTCCTGGTTGTTGGCCAAATCAGTGAAAAATCCCCACGGCCCCACGTTTTGTTGGCAGAAATCCCTTTTCTTGATCCCAACAAAAAAATGAAGTTTCTGATCTACTCAAAACCCAACAAGACCCACATAGTTCTGAACTTCTGACTTCACATCCCCTTTTTAACCTTGACATACTCTACCATCCCTCCAACATAGACCCTGCCAAAAGTTGGGTGTGGGAAGACTACCTTCCACTCAAAATATGTTGTTATCAAGGTCAAAGTGTTACTTGAAGATACTTAAACTTTCTTGGGGGATGGTATGTCCGCATTTCGAATGGTCAACTCCAAATTGTTGCTGGTGAAAGTCCCGGTCAATACCATTACCCTGGGGATCTCTAATATATATATATACATGTATATAGCATATATATAATATATATATATATACCATCTGGTAATTTAACATTATAGAAATCACCATCTCAACTAGGAATCGAACTGAGTGGGCCATCTATACCATACCCTCTGGTAAACTAACGTAACTATGGAAAATCACCATTTTTAATGGGTAAATCCACTATAAATCACCATTTTCAATAGCTATTTTGACATAACCAGAGGGTATCTATCTTTTAAAAAATGGATTCCCCAGTAATTGGACATTGCTAAATTCCTAGACTCAAATCTTACCCAACTTACGATCCAAGCTCCATCCAAGCTATTCCATTCTATGCCATCCCTCAATGGCTTGGTCTCATAAGTTTTGAAAAAATGGGAACCGGAAAGCCCCATGGGAAAATCTATGGTTTTAATATGTTTTAATGGGAACATCTATGGTTTTAATGGGAAAATCTATGGTTTGAATGGGAAAAATCTCTGGTTTTAATGGGAAAAATCTATGGCTTCCGGCTCAGATTTTCCCGACTCAACCAGTCCCTTGGATCCATTGGATCCCGTCGTCACCTGCCGGGCACATGACGCCCACTTCGATGACGTCGCCACGTTGCCACTGCTCCGCCATGGCGTTGAACTCGCGGCGACCGTGGACGCCAAGGACGTTGCGCCAGACCTGGGGATGGGGGGAGATGTATGGCACGGTTTAGATGGGTTATATCTATGGGATTATGGTATTCTCTATGGCTTATATGTGATGATATGGTAATATGGTAATACCTATGCTAATATGGTAATATGTATGATCATTTATTATGGTTCATATCTATGATATGGTAATATGGTATTACCTATGGCTTATATGGCTTATATGGTTTATATAGCTTATATCAATATGTATGGCATATATATATATATGTATCGGATTACATATGATGATAGCTTATATCTATGGGATTATGATGATAATATGATGTATATCTATGGCTTTATATATCCATGGGATTATTCATATTATGATGATATTGATGTTTGGCCCCTATGGTAAAAACATGATGATTGATGGATATATATAATATATATGTATAATATATATATATATATAATATATATAATATATAATATATATAATATATATAATATATATAATATATAAAATATATATAATACATATAATATATATAATACATATAATATATATAATATATAATATATATATAATATATATAATATATATAATATATATAATATATATTATATATATAATATATATATAATATAATATATATATAATATATATATATAATATATATATATAATATATATATATAATATATATATAATATATATAATATATAATATATATAATATATATAATATATAATATATATATAATATATAATATATATAATATATATAATATGTATAATATATAATATAATATATATATATTATGTATATATATAATATATATTATGTGTATATATATATTATATTATATATATAATATATATTATGTATGTATATATATATATATTAATATCTAACCACCCATATGAAAGCAGTCGTGTTAGTAAAGCAACAATGAACCACCCATGGTAACCAGCTCGATAGATCGTAGCCCGAGTTTCTTAAGATATATCGAACTACTTACTATGGTTGATTAAAACCAACAAACATAAATGGGGGGCAGCACCCTGTATGGCCAATATATGGTATGTGTATGGGTTCTATGGCTCATATGCATGAGGGTGTTATATATATATATAATTATGTAACCAGTACTGTATATTTATATATATATATATCTTGAATTATGTTGATATGTTGTGTTGTTGGGATTATGTACGGGATTATATGGGGTTGTATGGGTTATACATTGTTATGTTGTTAAGCTTCAACGTGCATGCCACTTGGTATGTAACCCAAAGAAACAACAGGAGGCTATCCCATAGACAGGTCTACAGAATGCAGTATCAAAGGACGGTAAACCGTCTCATTTCGAGGGGGATTTAACTTTGAGCTATGTCCATTTGGGGCAATGTGGCTTCATCCGGTGTCTAACGGCCTGAAATCAGTACCGAGAGAGGTAACCTACTTAGAATCCATGGCTTGCTCCGTTCTGAACGCTTCTGGCGAGTTGGGATAACCAACCAAATAGGGATGAACATCAATACGGTTTGACACCACCAGAGCTTACCCTCTGGTAATTTAACATAGCTATAGAAAATGGCCATTTATAGTAGATTTACCCATTGAAAATGGTGATTTTCCATAGTTCTGTTAGTTTACCAGAGGGTAAATACCCCTGACAAAAATCCGAAAATGTCAACCAGAAAATGACCAGTCTCTCGGCATCTCTCGGCTGCCCCTTGGACCCGGCCAGCCCCTTGGACCCAGCCACCCTCACGATGCCGCTCCAGACGGGAAAGTTGTGGCGATATTGGCTGACGGATTGGGTGGAGCCGTGTGGCGACAAGTCGCGGCCCGTCTTCTCTTCCCAGTCCTGCGAGATCCACGACTGGCGATAGCTGTCTCAACCAGAATCCAATGATGGGAGCATCTTGACCTTTAAAGAAGCAGATCCAAGCAGTAAATTTGAAATATCCATGGGGCCCAAAGCCAGATGCTCAGGTACTCGCAAGTGGCAGTTGTGGCTTCTTTCACCCATGTTTTTTTGGTATTTATCGGGATATCCAACCAACAAACATTGAGTTTATACACAGCTGGACACCTCAGCAGTCTCCTCAGCTGGAAAGTAGAAGTACTTGCCGGAGCGATCGTAGGGGAAAGCTGTCTCCACCTCAGCAGTTCAGATCGGAAGAAATCTGGCAGCGAATTGCTGGAAAGATTAGCAAAGGTCGCAGCTGTAGTCCATTCAACTCATCTCCTCAAAACAATAATCTTCCAAACATTGAGATTCAACATGATTCAACATGCAACTCATCCATTTTTTCCAATCCAAAGAAACGTTCTGTGTAACCTGTCCACCTGTCCGCCAACCGCCATCATCTGAGGGTCCCGGCCACTTCAATGCCTTTGGCCAGGTAGGTCGATTCATTGGGCTGCGGCTGCATACAGAGCGGGGTGTACTCGCCGTTGTTCACACCTGACGCCGGGATCTGCCGAAGGAATGGCGAGTTTGTTTTCGTGGGGAAAGACTTAAGATTTATAGTCTGTTCCAAACAATGTGCTAGTGAATTGCGATTAAACCCAATCATTCATTGCTTTTAATCATGTTCAAATCACATCTTTTGTTGATTTGATCCAATCGTATCAAAGAACTCGTCGATGGGTACAGTATCACTGTGAAATGGCTCAGTGAAATATCACCGAGAAATCATCACTCGGAGGCTGGTTTTTCGGGATTGCGAACTAACCCTTCACTGGGATGAACTGGGAAGTTAAGCCTGATCTACCAACTCTTTGCTTAGATTATAGTAACCCCCAAAAAGATAGAACAGTGACCTTCTACTGGAACAGTGATTTAATAAAATCCGTAGGAGTATCTTTTTGGGGGTTGCTATGGTATCTATGATCTAATTCACAGGGTTTTTTTCAGGCAGTGCCTCTATCATAATCTACGGCCTTACGGCGAAACCCTTCCTGCGAGATGCCAAGGACGATCGCGACTCTTGCAGCTGTAGGGGCTGAATATGAATAACGTATACAACAAAACTACAACGTTTATAGCATAACATATATATATAATATTATATAGTTATAAATTGTAAGATATGATAACAGATAGACATAAATTTGAAACATACTATAACATATATAGACTCTATAATACTCATAATACTCTATATACTATATATATACAATTTAATGTGGTATCACAGCAGTTACACAGTGGGGCCATCCCAACGAAGGCCTTGACCCAGGTTGAAGACAGGCGCCCAGTCGCTCCCGCTGTGCAAGGAGCATCCCGGCGGCGCGCCCAACCTGAGCTGAGCACCAGCTGTCAGATCTTCTGAGGGTTAAACATGGGTTAAACATGGGTTAACCTGTAGAAAAATATAGGAACATATAGGAAAAAAAACATGGGATCTAGCTTCATATAGGAAAACATTAAGGGAAATCCACTATAAATGGAGGTTTCATGGAGGTTTAATGCAAACCAATATAATGGAGGTAAACCAACAATAATATGTGGGCTTCTTAAGTGGGATCTCCAGTCGTCACCATGGGTTAACCATGTGTCTAGACTTGGATGATGTAGGGGACGCCCATGACTTAGGAAATCCACATATTAAGTCATACCCACATGAGCAAGGCATTTCGGGGGGTGTTCTCGCTGGTAAAGAATCTATAGGAAACACTCCTGGAAGAGACGATTTAGGCTAATGGTTTTTCCACTTAGACTTTCTCAAGCCTCACACTTTCAGGACAAGATCTCAAAAAAAAGTCTAGCTTTGGGTAAATATCAACCTCCAAAGATCAAAAAAAAAAACACTGGGGATATGAAATCGCTGAAACCGGCAAATCAAGCGGCCATGGTTGCGAGGCATCCTTGGAGCCCACATCATAACCCGCTTGCAGGGCCGTTCGGCCGCGTTTGGCGCCTTGGAAATCGAAGATCCCGGGAGGGATGAAATCATCATGGCAACAGTTTTTCCAACCCCCAGCATCGCAGAGTCAAACGTCAACACGATCTCAGCTTCCCCTATTTGTGAAATGCGCCTATTTGTGGCTTCGCACACTTGGAGACCCCCCGAAGTTCCGTGTTTGGGAGGAGATCTGAAAATGTCTTCCATCTTTTTCTGGAACTCATCCATCCTACCGTTCACCAGTGGTTCTAGCCTAGCCAGTTTCTCTATATGATTAAATTCCCCAAGTCTGATAATTTGCAAATCCATATGCGGGTGTCTTGAAATGGGGTCCCAAGGAATCCCCAGTCGTCACCATAGCTTTCAAGTATCATCCAGTCATGGTCGTCCATGACTGGATGATACCTGCAAGTACCCCCACTAAGTAATTCAACTAATTGGTAAGCTCATATAAAATATCAAATATCCCCAATCATCAACCACCTTCCTAAAATATCAAATATCCCAATCATCAACCATATCAACCATATCAAGCATATCAACCATATCGCTCTGGCTAATACCCACAATTTCCATCCAATCATCCCATGCCTGCCTGGTGGTAGCTGAGCCTTCATGGCTGCCTCCTGACACTGACTCAGCGGCACCGGGGAGACCTTCATATCTTGCGGGCAGCTGCCGCTGCCACGCAGCGCGAGGCCATAGAACCAGGGCGCCGCAGTGCTGGTGGTTGTGGTCACCTGAAGGATTTGGTGGAGGTTGGGAGAAGAAAACGTGGGGAAATCTGTGGAAAGTTCTGGGTTTTGTTTGATGATTTAGGAGGAGTGTTTGATGTGTTTGAAAGTTTTTTCGTGAGAAATCGTTGGGAATTGTTTGGAGGAACATGAAGGAACACCGCAAAACATCTGGAAAAGTTCACTGTTTGACCTCTTTTGGGTGGTAGGCGTGATTGTCTTCTAACAGAGAACATGTGTTTCAATGCTAGTTGTGGCACAATGTGTATATAAATAATCATGTTATCTTATAACGGTTTATAAGATCTTATCTTATAACGGTTTATAAGATCTTATCTTATAACGGTTTATAAGATCTTATCTTATAACGGTTTATAAGATTTTGTAAGACGAGTACAAGCACCATTAGTAACTGGCACATCAAAGATCATCAAAGCACGGATGTTTTGAAAAACATGAGGTTTGGAGAAACTGCAAAGGAAGGTTTCACTGTTTTCTGCTGAACCATGTCGACATGGGAAAGCTGAGAGCCCCGGCATCGACCATCTGTCGCTCCTGCGTTCGCTGCGGGACAAATCCGAAGGTGTAAATTTTGGGAGTTGACCCTCCAAAATGCATCGAAAATCCATCCAAAATCCCTTCAAAATCCATCCAAATCTGGTTTAGAACGGTAGTATGGTATGACTCACCAACTTTGGGGTTCTGGTGACCCAAATTTTGGATGCGTTGACCGTGACAATCCAAAATGAGAGCTTGTTGACTGTTGACCGAGCAAAATCAGTGTTTTCTGTTTTAGGCACTATAGTAATCCAAGTGCTTGCTGTGAGATCAGGTGAACATCCCCATCGCCAAAGGCCGCAAGTTCCCCAACTGCCCCGTGCCCCCCAGCGGAGCTTTCCCCCTCCTCAATGGGTTGACATGCGAAGGGAATGCGGAAGTGGTCGCAGGTCGTGTCGCCCGCACCCTTGGTGCCGTCCTCCTCTAAGGTCTGGAAATAGCCCAGGTAGCAGCAACCTCCACATTGGGGCTTGCAGCAGGGGGTGCCCCAAGTTCGATAGCTCAGGTCCTGATAACTAACAGACATAACTACGTTTTCACAAAGTTGGTTTGCATATATTATATATTATACTATACGTATATGATCGTATAATATCGTATATATGATAAGATTATGCAACTGAGCTGCAAGAGTCTGTGAGGAACCCTATCCACCCTGAAACTGGTTACCAAAATCGGCCAACAACTTCGTTCTATCCTCCCTATGCTTCAACTATCCTTCCACTCCATTTTCCACCCATCCCGACCCATTTTTCTCCACCTTCCAGGAAGGCTTCGAGGTGCGGCTGCTTCACCGGCAGACCCTCCAACAAATTCGTGCTCAACGAGGCCAGTCCATAGCCTCCCCAGCCGGGCCAGTCCGTCTCCAATTTCTCTCCGGTGACCCAGTAGAAGGCTGAAGGATCCGTCCATGGACCCTGAGGACGGGCGTTTTTTGGATAAAACTGGTTCAGCATGGTGAGAGTCAGAAACTTAGAGATTTCTAGGGAGCCGGCTAGGGAGCCGGGATCAAGAAATTGAAGGTCAGGGATCAAGAATCTGGAGGAATTTGAGGCACCAAAGATTCTTTGGCAGATTGGAATTTGAAAAAAAAGGCGCCAAGAGCTTAACCCGGTTGCCAGAGAAATTGTAGCCCTCTGTGCCAGAGGGTCTGGAACCCAGATAATCCATGAAGCTGGGATCCATGATTTCAGTAGCTTCATCAGGCAAATCATTTGCCCAGTGATTTGGGATCATCCAAGTCACTAATTCCTGTTGGTAGCCCATACCGCATGCTTCTCAAATTTGATGCTTTCTATGCTGCTGTGTCTTGATTCTGTTCCCTTGTCTTGTGATTGAATGCCCAAAGTCATCCAAAGTCAAAAATATCAGACGCCCTTCAGGCACCACTATAGGTTTGTCGGAAATTAGGTATCCAAATCCCACCGTTGATATATTTTTTTCCGCATAAGAAGTGTCATAAGTGGTGGCGTTTGGGCATTTTGTAAAACTCAATATCATGTTATTGATTAGATGTATCCTCCCAATATCCCATTTCATGCTTGGTTTCCATCATGTTTGTCTTGCAATTACTCTATTTTCTCTCGGTGAAAAAAAAAGTGGATGATATGGGTAATTATGTGCCAAAACTTGGGCACCCAGAACACCAAAATGGCTGGTGCATTGGTATATGTGTCCCTCCATGCAGAAAATCATAGCTTTCGAGCCCCAGATCACAAGTTTTAACGCTTATCTGGTGGTTAAATCATGGCAAATCCTCCATTCAAATTTTCATGTTTCACCAAAATCCTCAAGTTTGACCAAATCCTCATGTCTCATACTTCAAATGTCCACATTCCATTGGTGTTTCACCCAGAGAACTCAGCGAACAACGCCGGCCACGGACGCAGACGCCGTTCGGACAGCGCCTTGCCGAACTGCACGTCGCGGCGCAGGCCGATGTGCGCCTTAGCAGCGCCCTTCAACTCCATCGCCGCCGTGAGTGCCTGATGATGTGGATGATGTGGGGAAAAACATGGGAGAAAAAAAAAACATCAAAAATGACAAAAATATATATGATCAAATCTCAAAAAACACCATCATTTTATTTCTAAAATTGGACTGTTTGGGATGAGAATATTAGATGATCTGATGATCATATATTCGACATCTAATCGGAGTATAATGGGGATGATAATGGTCGAATTTGGTTGGTAGGCTAAACAACCATGGGGCTAAGACCCTCCAAGTTCCCATAAAAATGTGGAAAGGTCCCAAGTTAAAAGTCCCAAGTCATAATGAGTATCTTAGCCCACTTTCTAGGTACTTGGAGGGTCTAGGTACGAAGAGTCTTTCAAGGACGGTATAGTTGGTATAGATATATGATGATATATGATGATATATGATGCTATATGTATATAGATGATGTTTCCGCCATCAGTTTCGTCCAACTGTTTGGCATCTTATTGGACGTTGCTGACGTTGCTCATGGGGCATGAAACCCACCGATAGGATCGGGGGATATGATCAGGATATAGTTGGGTAACCAATAGTGGGGGTAAGATATAGTCGGGTATCAAGAATAGTATAAAGGAATATATAGGACATAGCTGGGTACTGTACCCCCTTTTTGTTGGGTAGCTGGGATGAGATGTTTTTTTTTCTTGGACAGTGGTAAACAATAGTGACCATCTGGACGTTCATACTGATGGCTTGGGATATGATATGGAACGACTCACCAGGACATGGTCTTGAGGGCAAAGAAAGAACCAACCACAGGGGGATAACTATGGGCCATCTTCTCCTTGGCATCTCCCATGTATTTCCATTCTATCAACAAATATCCCCATGAAAAACGGCATCTCCAAAAAGTATTTCCTCACCCAAATCGGACCTTGTTTTCCAATCGGTCCACTTCGCCCCATTTTTCGGTCCCAGTCGGCCCGCGCACTGCGCGCCCGCGCCTTCACATCTTCGCGGCTGTGAGGCGTAGCCAGCTGTAGCCCCTCCTCTGCGCAGAGCTTCTCGGCTTCCACCCAGGACCTGAGAACCGAGCCGTGCATGGCATGAGAGATCTCTGGGCCATGCAATGGCCATAAATGGCTGGGATGGCTGAAGTGAAAAGAAGCAAAAAAAACACAAAATCTGGCATTAAATCAACTTATGTTAGAACATGGCCATCAAACATTGAATGGATTGATAAGGTAACATTGAACCATTGCTCAATCATAATTCAAGGAGTTCACCAAACCAGCCGTTCATCCAATTCGGAGAAATGTAGATGGACAAATCCCATTGAAAAATATCGACTGACATTGGCTCACCGGGAGCTTTTGGTACTGACTGATGTTCTTTTATTTGCTTAAAACATAGATCTTCACTTAGATGATTAGATGATTCTTAGATATATTCTTTCATGTTTTTAGTGTAGAGCCCAGATTGGCAGATATGATCCATAAAGAAGTCTATCATTTTTGGTTGGTAGTACAGTAAACCATCGGATTTTGGTCCATCCTGAAAGTTGTAACTCTACAAGGATGCCATAACCCTAAGTGTGACTTTGCATCAATTCATACACAGAAAAATCAACTGCAATCTTCACGCATTCAAGTAGACCATGCAATATATACAGTCTCATGTCACGCAATTGGGCTGACCAATTTGATAGCCATTTCTCACGTTTTTGGGGTGACCAGCAAAATTTAGTCAAGCGGGGTAATCCAGAGTTCACATAAATTATTCATCATAAAGACTTGCAATGCACCTCGTCTTCAGCTCCTAAAGGTCCAGTGTGAACGCTTTTTTCAGCCAGGGCACTTGTTGTTGAGATGAATGACATATTTGGAAGCGTTGGCATTTTGTACATTCTTCAAACACTCCCGGTCCACTGTCAAGGTTTTTAAGCTCAAGGTCCTTAGGTTAGCATCCGAAACCCTCCACCCCTTGACGACAACGTCACTACCCGACGAAACAAGACAGCTTCCGATGTGATGTGTAATATAATGATGACATAGCTATTGAAAATGACCATTTATAGTGGATTTTGCCATGAAAAATGGTGAGTTTCCATAGTTATGTTAGTTTACCAGAGGGTAATGATGACATAAACGGGATACTGAACTAGTGTCAACCCCTCAATGTGCTCGTCAATCGGTATCATAATCCAGACAATGACATAAAATAGCCAATATGTCAAACCACCAACCAGCAGTATCAAAACAAATGAATTAATCCCGTCCCTGTTTTCATGTTCCCCCGATCGAAACATCAAAAACACAATCGTTTAGTATTGGATCTCATGTTTGAGAGCCAACATATCCCATATGCAATGCGAAACGCTTGGATTTCACGGGCGCAAAGTGAACCAAACTCCAACTTACCACGAGGTATTCAAATATGGCTGGACAGTCTCATTCTATTGCAAAAAATCTAGCAAACATTGATCACATTGATATTGATGATAGATTTTTTAGATTAGATTGTCTAAATGTTTGATATCGTTAGCCATGATTGATGATAGACTATGATTGATGATATTGTCCCTTGCCATGTTTGATCAGCAAAGGGTACTTCACCAATTCATTTTACAATGCCATTGGCCATGCCCATGTCCGCTAAAAGCACCCAGTCTTGGTGACTGGTTGAATCCCCATAATCCCCTCACTGTTTTCGCTGCTGAAGTGAATGAACAAACCAACGAAAGATGACTCAAAAGTTGACTTTTCCCCAAAAAATGGTGGATAAAAACGGTGGTTTGTTTCATTTGGTCAAAATGTTGGCTTCAACTCGTTTTAAAAACGATCATTTGAACAATCCATGTCCGATTTCAAGCGGCTGTTGATTTCATATGCCTATCATTTATAATCATTTAAATCCAACAACCCAGCATGTTGATTCATCTGGGCAAATTATAATAATTCACTAACCTGAATTAAGGCCATTTGGGGATGATTTCCCTTATAAACCATGATTCCAGTGAGGTCGCAAACGCATGTTTCCATCACAGCAACACCGCCAAGCATCGCTTCCGCCACCTCCACAGTGTCAGCGGAGCCCACATTCAACGTCCAGGTGCCTGGTTTAATGGGATTTAATGGGAATTTCCATGGGAAATTTATGGTGGTTTAATGGGATTTAATGGGATTTAATGGGATCACTATTTTAAACTTTGCGAAGTGGAAAATCACCATTTTTAATGGGTAAATCCACTATAAATCATCATTTTTTAATGGAAAATCACTATCTTTAAGTTCTGGTACATCAACTATTTCGATTAGGGCCATGTAAAAAATGTTCCAGTTCGCTATGTAACAGGAAAATTACCAGAGGCTAGTTGTTTTTTTGGGTGAAATGTTCGACAATGGGATGTGATGATGGGAATACAGAATATGAATGGGATAGTATGGATAGTATTCAATGGGATCGTTTATCAAAATGCTATAAAACATTATATCTAGATACTGCTAAAATGGGAACGACATGGAAAATGGTAAAAATGCGTCAGATGTTTGCTGTTCGGTGTCCAGTTTTTTTTCTTGTGCTACCTGAAATGGATAGACAACGTATGGGATGGGATCAAACGCTATTGGTAATACGTTTCGTGTCTAGTCAAATGTGTACCCAAAAAACGACTTTAGAAAATGGGGCGGTATTCCTAAAGCTCGAAGAACTGTTTTCCTTCCAGGAACCATCTTCCAAGCAGAAGGTGGATGTGGTTTCCACTAACCCTCTTCGCTTTTTGAAGAAACGCAGCAGCTGCAAAGTCCCCGTTGTTTGAAACAACTACAGCAAAACAAAATAGTCCCTTGCTGGCAAACTCCAAAATTCCTCACCAGAATTTGGATCCGCATCACCATCAGTCATCTAGCCAGCAGTTCCCACTGGTATTCCTTGACTCTTTTCCCCCATGTTAGTGATCCAATTTGATCATTTGGGGTGTTCAAAACCAACTAACCAATGAGGCTGAACAAAAAAGTTGCTTTACCGCACGAACTTTTGGCTACCAAACACTAACTTGCAACTGTTCAAAACTGGGTTTACTAGTCGCTAAAAGACTCGGCACTAGGGGATTAACTTCCTGGGATCCTCCCCAGGATCCCAACCAAACTGGGATTTATAGGCAAAGTATATATTATCATAGCTGAGTATATACGCGTCATTTCTTACTATATATTATTTATGACTATATGAAATATGATGCATATTATATATATATAATATCTATAATGTCAACCCTGGATTAGTAAACCCCAAACGGCTGTTTAATTGAGAGGGTACCATTCAATTATCAGATAATGACTATTGGAGGAGTACCCCCCCAATTAATAAACCATGGTTTATTAATCCGGGGTTGACATTATATCTATAAATATATATATATATATGATATATATATATATATATATGATATATATAATCTATATTATCTATATATTATCTATATTGTATTATCATATTATACACCGATACATGACTCACCCCATGGGATGATCCGCCCAGGGACCGTTGCAGACGTTGCTCTGCGCTGAGATCCCGCTGCAAAGGCCAATGGCATCGGCACAGGCCAACTTGGCCTCCTCCAAGGTGGAAAAACACCTGAGACGATTTAAGGGGATGGGGAATGGATGGGAATTTCCATGGAAATTTATGGTGGTTTAATGGGATTTAATGGGATTTAATGGGATTTAATGGGATTTAATGGGATTTAATGGGATTTACCCTCTGGTAAACTGCTCCATAACCATGGAAAATCACCATGCTATTAATGGGTAAATCCACTATTTCAATGGGCCATTTTCAATAGCTATGTCAAATGCCTACATCCACAAGTGGGAATTTTCCTGGGATTGGGGGAATTTATGAGGGGTTTCGAAGGGATTAAGTAGCTCATTTTCCCACCCAAAAGGTGGTTTCCTGCCCTTTGTCTGAACCATAGTAATTAGTTGGATATGAATCTTAAACCCGTGATTGGATAAGAAACTGGGGCACCAGCTAATTATATCTAAAAGCATATACCCTCTGGTAATTTAACATAGCTAATTATTGAAAATGGTCCATTTATTGTTGATGTACCTATCAAAGATGGTGATTTTCCACAGCTATGTTAGTTTACCAGAGGGTACATATATGTACATATCATAGTTGTTGGAGGTGTACGCCGAGTTTCTCCTCTATCGGCTGCGCGTCCTTGAAGTGACACGCCTGACCGATGTTAATCGGATTTTAATGGAACAAATGTGGCTATGATGTGAATAATATATTTCGATCTATCTATATGTATACATATATATATATATGTCATACTAACATATGTCGCTATATATGTCTAAATGCATGTGTATATATATATACATATATGTCTATATATATACATGTATATTATAGATATAAATGGCTTATATACATCATATATATATATCATAAACACAAATGGCTTATATATATATATACACGGCATATAGTACGGCTATACATGGTTCTTAATGGTTATTAGTGGATGCTTGGACGTGCCGCAGATGTCTTCAGCTTTTCGCCAAGGAGACAGTTTGTTTCAGCATCTGCAAGCTGTCTTACTTCTCCCATGAATTATAGTAAATATTATTCGTAAAACAATACTTTAATCAAAAATTAAACCAATACTTATGAATCAACAAACAGACTTCAATAAAAATATATCAACAACCAGACCTCCATAAACCTGCACGCACAACCCCACTGCATTTTTTCCAGGGATTCTCAATGGTAGCCACTCCAGCCTCGCACTCCTTCCAACAATGTGCTTCTCGAAGGAGTTGTTCCTTCTGCTTTCTGGCCGCTGCCTCCTGTAGAGCAAATGGACGGCTCTGGAAGAGCAACTTCCAGCAACTGGATGGGTGACCATCAATGGATTTATTTTGCTGGGAAAATCTCTTAGCGAATTTTCACCAGGAACCAAACACCGTGTGTAATTGAAAATTCTCCCATCATCCAAGGATTTGATTTCAATCTGGTGAACCTGGCTGCCATGCACCCCACGTTGCGGGGTTTGGATTTTGGCCCGGCTCAAAAACAACTTGCACTCATGAGATGGATCTGTATCCCCTCGGTCAAGTTTGAGGGGATTGGGGATGGTGCAAAATTTATGGTTCCAGGACCTTTGAAGCGATTTATGTTGCGATGAGAGAAACACCAAGGGATTCCCAGATTCAGATCTCATGGCTATGCAATCCCACTAAACCCAGCTTCAAAGTGACATCCGTCTGGTCTGTTGGTAAAATCCCTATGAGATTCGTTGCTTCGTAGCCCACGAATGTTGACTGGTGAACAATTCGGTCGCTTTTGGTTGAATCCCAGCTTTTGTTGGTAAATACCAATGTTTGATGGAAAGTTCCCCATGGTTGATGGTAAAAATTTACCCTCTGGTAAACTAACAGTTTGCTATGGAAAATCACTATGCTATTAATGGGAAAATCCACTATTTCAATGACCATTTTCAATAGCTATGTAACAAATTACCAGAGGGTAACCTTTGTCATCACCGTTTTTTGGCGTGTAAAATCTCCTGTTTCATCTTCTCTGGGTCGGATTTATTGAGTGCCGTCTCGTTGAGCTTCGCAAGCTGAGGCAGGACTAACACAACCATCGCATGTGATAATCCAAGTATAGTCTTAGTAATTATTAATAATCACATGGCATAGTGTATGATCATTGATAATATCAGTTAATTATCAAATATTGTCAGTTACAGATAAAAACAGTAACGCATGATGAATGTTCCAGGTAATTATATAGCATTGTCATTGACAATATTAACTATGGCAAACAGGGAGTTAAGTAAGGAAAATGTAGGCTCAACCATTAATATGGTATCCCAGGTGACATAGTAGGATGTAAATTGCTAATATAGCATTATATAAATATGGCATAATATGGCTAACCAACTACATGATGGATACAATGGATGCCAAAATTTATGGAAAACCTAATGGGAAGGATGCTGCGGATGAGGAGGATATAGTGCTTCTGATAGTGTCTGATACTTGTCATGGTGCTTGACTCGTGCTTGGATACTTTGCAACTGCTAAACAAGACAGTGGCTGACTTCTCAAAATGAAGAAGCCTCCGTGTTAAACAATACAGTGGCTGACTTCTCAAAATGAAGAAGCCTCCGTCAAGCTCAATTAAATACAGCGGGTCACTGAAAGCCGTCAAATTCACAGAACACCCATTCGGTCTCTGCATAGAATGTTTGAATCATGTTCGATTCCATCACTAAACAATCATCTAAGACATCAATTGAATATGTCAGTCCAACTGGGTGAAAAGGTCCAAGCTCCGTGGTGGAGGTGGAGGAAAATGAAGCAAAAGAGCATATATGTGACAGTGCGAGTCAATCCGCACGTCCCGGGACCTATGGAAACCCGGAACAAAAAGGCTTGCCAAAAATGAAACTGCCACAACCAGAACAAATGACTGGCGTATTGTGACACTGGACCAGGTGCTAGCGTTCGCTGGAAAGCCCAAATGTACCAATCATCTGGACATCTGACTCTGTAATCTTTGTACCCACAATGACCTGCCAAATATATATATATATATATGCCCCATCTGTTTCTCTTCAAAAGCCTGTCTTTTTTCAACCTTTTTTCTCAGTGCTCAGTGGCTCTTTCTGGGGCCTGGTGAACCTGGTGAACCGGAATCCCCACCATCCCCACCTCCTCTTTGTACGGCATGAGATCGCTCATGATGCTGTTGATCGCATCTGGGCACGCCGCGCGGAACCAGGGTTTGGAAAACCCCAGGTCAGTTCAATCCCCGGGTCTTGTCAGCCATGACTACCATTCATTGTTGGTTATACAAACCATATATCACATATATATATATACAATATATATATGTATACAATATATATATAAGCCATTTATGTTTATGATATATATATATATAATATATATGTATATATGTATATATATATGTATATATGTATATATATGTATATATATACATACGTTTATACACAGTTGTCTGGGTGACATCAACAACAAACCTGGCAGTCAATCCCTATCTCTCCCTGCAAAAAAATACATGCTCGCCCGTATTGAGCTTTGAAATCCCCAAAAACGTTTCCTAGTTACATCATCTTACATCATCTTACATCCCATTTGTTCATCCCAAAACCACTATCCAAATCCCATCCCCCCCAACCCCCTGGTGACCTTCCATGGGATTGAAACCTGGGACCATTGGCAGTGCTTGGGCCTGCGCTGCTCGAAACGCCGAAACAATCGAGTCATTGGGGGATCATGATCTCCACGGGGATGCAACATTTACCAGATCTTACCAGCAAAATCCAGCAAACAGTAGCTCTGTAGATGTCCCACTGGGAGTTTAAACACCTTGGGGCCGATGCTTGATGTGCCGATAATCCCTAGGCCCCTGTCCAGCGCGCCTGTCCATCTGCCATCTGCGTGGCCATTTCAGGCACCTCCCCCAGAGGGGAGTTCAAGGCCAAAGTCTGGGTGCTTCCATGGTTTCCTCTGAGTTCATTACAAATTGAGCTCCTCATCTACCCTCTGGTAAACGTTTACATAACTATGGAAAATCACCGTTTTCAATGGGAAAATCCACTATAAATGGTCATTTTCAATAGCTAATTACCAGATGGTAAAGCATATGTGGAAAAACAGCTGTAACTCATTTGAAACCAATGATATGCTTGTTGTAAGGAGGATGGGAATGGCTGATAGTCAATCATCATGTGCCGCAAATTGCCATAAACTGAGGTGTTAAATCCCCCATGTTCAAAACGCAAAACACAGCCCATGATATACATATCCAAAAAAATCATGCTTGGTTTCCCCATAACATCCCCATGATCTTAGCATGTTCATACATTTTCCATAGGTCGCCCCTATGTTCAGAACTTCATCATCCCATTTTTACCCAAAGACCCTGCCCCCGCCCCATGGTGACCATGGCTCCAGTGCCTGCATCTGTTGGGCCAAGGCTGACCTGATTCGCACGTGGTCGTTGGAACTCACGTCATCAACTCACCTTGGGATTTTCTTACCTGGTCGCTGGCAACATCTGAAAAAACCCAGAAACCATCGAAAGGATGGGATATACATATGGACTCATATATATGGGGATAGTCTGAAAAAAAAAGGGATAGAAAAATCCCTGTGGGATAGTCAGTACTTGGATGAACCAATGGACATGTCTTGGCTTCGTCGTAAATTCATGCGCCTACTTGATGGGCGCCACCGTCCTTCCCAATTTTGGCCCAAGAATTGGGTACACCCAAAAACACATCCAGCAACAAATGGGGATGTTTACTTTTCAACATCCCAAATATCCCAAGTTTGGATTGCCTCCCCATTGTTTTGCTGGACTTAGAGGTCTCAAAAAATGAGAAGTAACGCTACGGATGGGATTTCCCGTGGAATTCCAGCCAAAAACATGATGGATTCGTTGTCGTATCCGTCCCATTGAGGAGCCCACTCGGACACCACCTCGGTGTCGTGTAGCAGATTCCCGTGGATTGTCCGTTTGAATCAAGGGTCAAAGAGGTATCATCAACTCATCAACCAGGACATGACCCAACCGGGTGAATCCATACCCAACGAGTGCATCGTTGTTTTTTTTTCCGGCAACGCGTCCAGGAAAAAATTGACCCCCTCAATCAGCTCTTGAGGACTCGATGATGAGTGTACAGCTGCATGGCTACTTCCCATAGCAGTTGCATTTGTCAACCGCCTACCCTCAAGGCCACAACCATCAGCCAAGATTGGTCCGATTCCCCGATTTGTTCATGTTGCAAAGCCAATGCCATAAACCTACCATTTGCACATGGTTTCTGAACCGCATAAATGGTTGTATTGATTGATGGCCAGGTTTATAGCATTAGGTCAACCGATGTTCATCAGTTCACCAAATGCTAAGAGTTGCCAACAGTTACCCGGTTACCCCAAATCCAAAGACACATTTACCACAAAGCCGATTCCAGGATGGGAGATGTTACTGAGATGTTCTTCCAATTTGGGACGGCTCAAGCTGCATTTTTCGGTGTCGATTGAGTTTCCCAGCACCATTGGCATCCACATCTAGCTCTCGCCAATCTGGAAAGCCTGCGGCCGAGCAGCCCCGCAGCCAGCCCCAAAAGCCGATGCTGGAGATCCCCAAAAACTTCATGAGAATCTGGAATCAGTTGGGTAAAATGGCTGGGTCAATGGTGTCTCAAAAGAGTCAACAAGTCCGACTTGCAGCCATAGCATCCACTTCCCACCTGCAGAACGTTCTGTCCGCAACAGCGCTTTCCTGGCCAGAACTCACAGCGGTGAACCCGACTCAGTTCGGAGCGTTCGGGGTGAATTTCTGATCACCAACCCCAGCCATTTTTGGATAGTTCTCTGGTTGGTGGTTGACCTACCCCTCTGAAAAATATGAGTTCGTCAGTTGGGATTATTCCCAATATATGGAAAGTCATCAAAAATGTTCCAAACCACCAACCAGTTCTCCTTACATCCAATGTCATTCAATGTCAACCGTTGCATTTCGCTAGATGGACAATCCGTTGATTCCTTTGGGAGCAACCAGAGGTATGGTGTATCATTGGGTTTACTGCCTTACTATAAACAAACACTAGTTAACCATAGTTACCCATAGTTGTACCCATTTTTTCACCCATGTTTACCATAACTACAGAATACGTTAGTAATTGATTTTTCCTATCATCCCCTTTTAAGATCTTTTAAGCACATGGCTTGATCATCCAGCAATCAGAGAAAAACATCGCCATGGCACCGTCTCTCAATGCCCGCAGGGCTCACATCAACCTGGCATCAGGAATTGGGTTGAAACCACTTAGGGTTGGTTTGAAAATGGTCCAAGAATCAACAAACATCTTATGGCAAATCTATCAACTTGGAGAAAAATCAGCATCGATCAAAATCTGAGGTATCAAAATTTGGCTGCGGAAGGAAAGGCCAGCCAAGATGCCCTGTGAGTTTCGATTTTGAACTGACCATAACTGACCTATCCCTTCAAGGACAGGCTTTTTCGGCAGGACCAGGTGCCCCCGGGGCCTCTTGTTGCAGAGGGTCTGCAAAGTCCTGCATCTCATGCTGTGAAGAGTAAGTAGTAGGGGTCTACCCAATTTCATAGACCCCAATGACTACGACAATTACCTTCAGAAGGATGAGTGAACAGCAAAATAGCTATTTTCACAAGGCAAATCGTTATTTCTATGTTCATTGGCCATTTTCCATATTGTTCAACAACCAGAGGCTAACACTATAACACTCAAGTCATGGGGTAAACCCTTCATAGCGGGACTTCTCATGATATGATAACCGTCCTTTTTGGACTGCCCCATCTTTTGAAACTTAAGACATCAGCCATATTAGGAGGTTTCCTAAGTCATAGGGGTACCCCAGTCATTATCCATTTGGGTGTGTCTGAAAATAGTGTACCCCTAAACCCAATGGTTTTGCTGATCATTATCCCTATTAAATGGCTATTAAACTATGGGAATATACCCAACATTTTCAGACAAACCCATATCTTATGATATGCTATGGTATTTTCATTTTACCATCAATATACCCCAAATGTTAGCATATATACCATACATGGATCCTATGGGTAGGGGTACCCCAGTCATTATCCATTTACTTCGATGGATTTTTCATGGGTTTTCCATGAAAACCATCCAGCGAATTTGGGGAAACCTCCAAATCCACAGGGCTCAACGACTCCGTCTCCTGCGGATGGAGTCCATGTGCCAGCAAAGCCAGGACTGCTATGGCTGACACCTCGGAGACTGGATATCATGATATCCTCTGCGTTTTTTTCACCATGGAAAAGGATGGAAAATGATAGGAAAATCATTGAAAATGATGGAAAATGATTGAAACCCGCCAGGTTTGACAGTTAAACAAGCTAAAAATGCCGAATGTTCCGTGGCTATGTTGAAATTCCAAACAATAAGTTACATCCGACCATATCAAGATGTTCAGCTCCTTCAAATCTCCTGATTTGGGCAATCC